AAGAATAATAATTTTGTTTTGTACATTATGAAATTTTTAGCCAAATTGGAAGAATGTGCAATACTTTTGTAGGGCTTCAGAGTTGGCTGCAGTAAAGCCTCTGATAATGTTCTTTAAATGGCCCCCTTTGAGCTGAGTTATCTCGATTCCTGTGAAAGATATCAAAAAGTTGTCAACTGATAAATTACTAATCATAATATCAGCAATATTTTATCAATTGGCAACTTTTCAATACCTTTCCCAGGAACCGAGATAATTGAGCTCAAAGTTGATAGTTTGAGTAGGCTTCTATTAGAGAAAGTACTGTAGTATTTATTTAACGGGCTAATATTTTTTCCGATTTTTATCAGTTTTTCAAAATGTCTTCGATAAAACTTTGTATTTTCAAACTTTTTGTGCAGTTTTAAAATTCTGAAATTCTGGAAAAACGAAAAACTTTCAAGCCGACTAAAATCGACAAAAAAGTTCGAAAAATGCTGTAATTTGATTTTTGAAAGTTTAGATACATTATTTTTTTCCTAAGAAAAATCAGAAAAATCTTCAAAATTAAGAAAAACAGCCGTATTAAAAATACAAAAAAAATAAATTATTCCCAGGTTACTGCAGTTTTCGTTCTTTTACCACAGCCTTCTTTAAAGATTGCATGCGCTCCAATCTTTGAAGGCGCATAACTCCCGAACTACCGTAGCTAGAAAAAAGTTTTTAACTACTAAAAAAAAGGTCTACTTCTGTTATACATTTTTACTGTTGACAAAGTTTTTCTAGCTACCGTAGGTTTTGAGTTATGCCGCATAACTTATCCGCCTTTAAATTATTAGGTGTTTAAAAAAGGAAGAGACGCCGAGACCGCTAGAAGGCGGATAGCGAAAAAAATGACAGAAAATCGAAAAAACTAAACAATTTTTAGGTTACTGTTGTTTTCGTTGTGGGATCTTCAATTTTTGTCTTCTTACCTCTTGTTTCAGAATCTATAGACAGTTTGAACAGGTGTGAAGTGTTGAATGAGAATCTTGCCTCCTTACCATTTTCACGAGCGAGAAGCGGTCAATTAGCAATCTCTATTGTTCCGCCAATGGCAACTAGTTCTCAAGCAGAAGGTTGTGTATGTCACTACTTGAACTTTTTCTTATTTTATTTACAAAAAAAGCACTATTTAAAATGGGGAGTAACATAGGTGTGTGACACATTAATTAACATTATAAAGGCATCGGAATCAAAGGAAGAAGAGGTCGGAAAGGGTATAGAGGGTGGGAGGGGAATAACAACGGAACAAATGCACAATTTTCAAGGTTTTGGTTGGGTGTCGGGGGGACCCGTTGGACACTGAGAGAAAGAGGTTGGGATGGGATGTACAGTCAAATGCAGAAGAAGAAAAAGTGTGTACAAAATATACATAAATTTGGTTAGAGTAGATTGAGCTATGCGGTTGTCGTATCAGAATGTTTGGACGACAAATCCTTGTTATCGAAATCACTGCTGGCTCGCCACGCTTTGCGCGATGGCACGAACAGCTTCTCGGTTCCGTCTACTCCTTCGGAATCCGATGACAGGACCGAAGCCGACGGCGTTGTCGATTTCTTCTGTTTTCTCGATTCCAGGGTATCGCGAATGTATCGTCGTTGACTCCTCCTGGTGACGTCTGATCTTTTGGTTTCTGACGTGGATTGCTCATCGAAATCACGGACTGGAGAGCAACAAGCGTCGCGTTTACTGAAACAAACTAATTAGGTAATAAGGCAACTTCTAAGAAACTCACATACCTAGGAGATGGCTCACGAGGCACCACTTTTGTCCCTGTGTCGATACCGGAGAATCCAGAATCCTTATCATCTGACTCCACTTCTCCTCCATGGAATATCACAGCGGGCGCTGAAACTGCAGATGCCACATCTTCATCCTCTTCTGGAACATGAACCAGACGACTTGAGCATCCTAGACTCTTCGTATGATGGTGATGAGAAGATGAGGATGAATGAGGTTGATGATCGGTGAAGAGACCGAATGTTCTCATAACTTTATTTTCGTCCATATAGTGGAACTCATATAAAGCATCATGGTTCCTTGTGAAATCCACCACATGCTCGAACGAATCCACGTCATAGACATCGGTTGGGAGAGAGCTTTCTGAGTTGTTCGGAGTGAGTCTTCCAGCCTTTCTGAGCATTTTTCTACGGCGATCTCGCTCTCGAAGAAGACGCATCTCTTTTTTGGCATCCTCACTCATCTCGATTTCTTTATGTTCGTCTTTGTCCATTGTAGAGGAGGCGAGAACAGATCCAAAGTTGTCAGTTTCAGATACGGCGACCAGGCAGGAGAAGCTGAAAGGAATGGGTTGATTATGGGAAGACAGGAAGGGGTTGGTTAGAGAAAGAGAAGCGTTATTTGTTAAGCATAGTTAGAACTTAGAAAACTTGAAATCTCCACACTCAAAACCACACCAAAAAAAAAACAACGATTAGCTCAAGCGACTCACTTAGTATATCTGGACTTCTGTTTCTCCACCTCGCCCAAAATGAAGTCGGCCAGAGTACGAAGTTTCAGCCGAATCCATTGCGGCGGACTAACCATATCCAAGTACTGGTGGACTCTGCCAAAGAAAGTTGTGATAAAGGCCAAATCGGCCGGTGAGTTCACCAACTTTTTGACGAAAGCAACCGCCATATCGAGCGGGAACTTTGAAATACCCATTGCTGTAGTCGCGTAGCGAACCAGTCGGAACGACATGATGTACTGGAACATGGATTTTTCAGCAGCGACGGCGTCTTCGAAAGCTAAAACATGTAACTATTGATCTACAATATTTTGAATCTAACTTACGTTTCTTCATAATACTTGGAAAGAAGCTTTGAATGTTGACTTCTTCGAGTGGAATGTCACTGTCACCGCACGTCTCACACTCGGATTCACCACGAGTACGGAAGCTAAGAGAGAATGTTGGTCTAGGTCGCCCTAGCAATAGATAATACCTGTTGAGAGCGTTGGTGCTCGCACGTTTACGAATTCTGTTGGTTGGAAGGGCGGCTGCTAGTTTTTTCATGTCGTCGTTTTCTGAGAAGCATTCAGAAGACACTCGTCCGGCGGCGATTGCAGTGGAATCGTTGGCAGCGTCGGCGGTTTGAATCGTAAGGCATCGTATGCAAGGGGCCATTCCTAAAACGGCAGGTTTGTACTGTCCGATTTTTGGAAATTAAGTATCGGACCGAATTAGTAAAAGCATCTAGTTCAGCAGCTAAAAAAAGCATCAACTTACCATATTTCGTGAGGAATCTCAATGCGTCTCCAAATCCTTGCAAGCACATTTTCGATAAATCATCCGTTGATCTTGGCCACAAACAAGCCATCAATCTGAACATGTTTCTCGCAGTGAATCTGATTGACGTTCCATTGAAGTCCACTCCCAACAAACTTCCACTATCCCAATCCGGCGGACAAATGTCTGATTCTCCAGAGAACGGGGATACGGTAACGGTGTGCTCGTCGTAAATTGGTTGATTATCCGAAACTCCTCCGTCTATATATTGAACTCCTCGGAATTTCGGAGGTGTGATTCCACAGTAGAGTGGGATGAAGCAAGAGCACATGATGGCGTCGATAAGATCGGCGTTAGATCGGTAGTCCTCGATTATGACGTTCTCATGGTCACTCCATCGGGTTAACGAGATCACCAAACGACCGGTACACCTGGAATAGAGAGGCTACAAGGTCTTGTGGTAAACAATGCTGAGAATGCAATTTTTGGATAGAACTTCTATCATAGAAATTGGGAAATTTTGCAAAAGTATTATTCTGATACAAAAAAGATATCGGAGCTGTGGAAGAGAAACGCCGGTGGCCGTAGCCAAAGATCTCACAACGACAACTACCGTAACCTAAACTTTTTAAAAACTATTTTCCGAATATGTTTTTCTTGATTTCCGTGCGTTTTCGGCCAATTTTTTCATTATCTAGGGGGTTTTAGCGGTTTTTTTTGTCATTTTCCCCCATTTGATAGTGAAAAATTGACAGAAAAAGCCCTTATTTTGGAAAATTAACATATTTTTAGGTTACGGTAGGTGCCGTTGTGGGACCTCCAGCCTCGGTTTTTCCAAAAACCAGCTTATTCTAGAACAATCTGTACTTTGAACGAACAACAAGCGATCACTATTTCTAGTTGAAAAAGACGTCATGATAGAAATCAAACACACAGTTGTTGTCGCTTGTTTTTTGTTGTTTGTCGTCATCTCTATTTTCAGCAAATTTATGTTTTCTCTTCTAGAAAACTAGATACAAAAACTCACATTTCATATGCATTCTCTGGCAAAATATGCTCTAGTTCCTCTCGAACGATTCCTAGCAAATTGAATTCCGGATGTAGCGGTCCGAACGTCCTCGCTCTCGCCTGACTGACCACTTTGAGTATTGTGCTGGTGGCATGGGATATACAAACGTTTGTGATAAGACCACAAGCGACAATCGAGCCGGCTGACGCTCCGAGAATCTTATTCTGAAGGAGCTGGGGTGCGTATTCTTTGATGGCGGCGGCGACGCCGGCGTGGTAGACGCAGAGGAATCCACAGCCGGAAAATGATAGATTCATCAACTCGGGTCTACTATTGACCAGAGTCATTTTCTGAAAAAAAAAAAAAGTTTTTAGAATATTTAGAATTCTGATAATCGAGAAAAAAATCTAAAAGAGGACGAAACAAAAAAAAATGCAAAGTAAAACAAAGGATTAGTCTGCGATAAGAGAATGGAGGCTACAAGAAGTCATTGAATTCTTGGAGAACCAAAATGAACACAGCGACGATAAGGAGAAATATGCGATGCACGTGATAGTAGTTTGATGAAGCAAAATGCAAGTTAAAAAAGCACTGAGAATGCGGGTGAAAAAGAAGAATTTGCGGCGCTGGTTCCCGAAGAAATTTGATGTGATTGATGAGAGACGAACACGCGGTATTCTGAAGAGGGTGGGGATTCGGGTTGATGAGGCGATTTTTATAAATAACGCCATGTTTTCTTGGTTTTTGCAAAGAACAAGTCGTAGTTTTTAGAGAAATTCGTCTTGAAATTAGCTATTGAAATAAAGGAATTTCAGAAAATCTGAATTCAACTGTAACGGCGTTTGCGGTGGGTGCAGCAGACTCGCCGACAAAGTTAGTCAAAATTTTCAAATTTGACTCATTTTTGCAAAAAACTTGGAAAATTATCACTGTTTTTTCATGATTTCCTCAGAACCTCACTCTTTACCAGTCCCCAACATGTTTCACAATTTTTTTCCTCAATTTTGAAATATTTTCTCATTTCAAAATCAAACTAGAAAGAGTGCATGAGCGTCATCAAATCAGTGTGTTCGTTGAGGTGTTGGCAGGTATCAGCAGTAACGAAAAGAAGAAAACAGATAGAGGAAAAATGGAAAAATACTGTTTTTTAGTGCCAGCTGACCTTCTTCTTCTTCTTCTTCTTCTTCTTCTTCTTCTTCTTCTTCTTCTGTCGCGGAACACACTATATCACGCCATCGAAAGATTCCGAAGACGCGCGAAAAAAACTGTGTGTGAGGTTGTAATTGAGCAGAGAACACTCGCTCTTGTCTGTGATGGTCACTTTCAGATGGGTGCGAATAGAGGAACGTGGCATCTAGAAAAGCCTCTCTTTTTGGCAACAATGGAAAAGCTGCAGTATGTTTGATCAAGTGGGGAAGCTGCAGAAAGCAGGTCACCCATTGAACAAACATACAGAACCCTGTGTGTCACGGTTAACAAGGGAACACCCCGGTTGGGATAAGATCTCTAAACGGGGCACTCCCCTTCTTTGAAGGTCACAAACGGTTCCAGAAGGATCTAGAAGAATAAATACAATAGAAATATATATTTTATTATGCAAGAAGGGTGTGAGCTGAATTAGAGACAAGACAAAAAAGTACAAAAAATATTTACAGAAAATGGGGAGGCATTAGAAACTATCAATCACTGACCAGTGTCGGGTAACAGGGCTATCACTTTTTAAGAGGGACCAGCTTAGATAAGATTAGATTGGAGACAAGAGAGGAAAAATTGGGCTTGCCCTCATTGGCTTAATATCATTATCATCAAAAGAGAGAAAAGAAAATATAGAAATTTTGGAAGATACACTATGAAAAGATGCGAAACGCCGCGCTGCTTCGAATGCATAAACGATTACGCGATGCGGAGAGGAGGCGGAGGCGACGGAAAGCAACGCAAGAGGCACAATGCGAACCGGAGAGAGAATCAATAAGAGACAAGAGTGAGCTGTAGAGACGCAGACCCTGGGGGAAGACACTGCGCTTCTAACACCATCTGGCTGTGTCTCTCTCGCGGGTTCCCGGGGAGGGTTGTCTTCTTTTGACACCACGTGACGAGTCACGTTGCCGCCTGATGATAAAATACTAAATAGATGAAAAACTGGCGACGCCATGGCCCATTATTCTTCGTCTTAAAGTGAGAAAAATTTTGAGTGAAGGGGGAGGGAGAGATAAGAAAAAAGACAGACACAATGCAACACAAAAATTGAGAAGGAAGTTTCTCACGGTTTCAATGAAAGTGCGATTTGATAAGAGAGGTCCAAAGGTGGCCGGAATTTCAGTAAAGTCAGAGAAATTTTTTTTGAGATTACTGTCTGCAGCTGTACGAGATTCAGCGTGAATGTGTTTGCACAGTGTGCATTTACGGGCACAGGGTTTTTTTTGGATTTTCGGGATTTTCGATCACAAACGCTCAAAAAATTGACGAACAGATTTTGAAAACGAGAAAAAAATTGAAAGTAATTTCGCTCGAGGCTTGTAAAAGAACTTTTCGCATGCGCCTTTGACATACTGTAGTTCAAAAAATTGGAATTTGATTCCGAAATTTCTGGTCGAAAGTTGGGTAATATTTCGAACGGAATTTGATTCGAAAAAAAGCTTTGAAATTTTCAGAATTCAGCTCCGAACATGTCTGCGCTTTGTTTAATAATAGAATCTCTAGAGAGTGATGACAATTGGTGCTGGCTAGAGTGTACTAAAGTGCTCATCCCCGCGCAGTAAATGAAATTTTATCTAGCTACACAGATATCTATTGTCGAATTAAAAAAAAGTGGGACCTGAGAATTCGAAAGGCGTAGTTTTTTTTGATCTACGAAAAAATGCGGCAAAAACGTAACATTTCAGATTTTCGCCTCGTTCGAGCTACTTTCGCAATTGAGTTCGGTTTTTCGATGAAAAACAGATTCTAGAGATGCTAGCGATCATTTTCATACCAAAAAATCTACATTTTGTCTGGAAATCCCACTGAATTCACAGAAATAAGTTTCGTTTACTACCGTAGTGTTTTTGGGCAAGGCCTCAAAAATTGACCGGGAAGCCGCCCGCGAATTTTTCCAGGTCCCACTTTTTTTAATTCGACAATAGATAAATATTAGAGGTCTTTTCGATCAAAAAGGACGAAATGATCTATTCAAAAGTTCGAATCAACTTTTCTGTCATAAACTGAATCAGGGGAAAAAATGCGAAAAAACCGAAACCACGTGTCTCTTCTCCGGTTGAAACTATCTGAATAGAGAAACAAGTTTCTGTCCGTGCCAAAAGTGTAACGTCTTCTTGGTCTCATTGACCTAAACTTATGCACCGCGCGTATCAATTCTCTCTCTCCTCAAAACGCTCCGCCTCATAAACAAAAGTACAAACAAAGAGAGAAGAATAGGCATAGTACGCAAAACAGTTTGAATGATACAATTTACGACTCCTCGTGCGATGATAGAGTATAGCAAAAGGGCGAGAAGAGACAAAGGAAATTTGTGTGTGCAGCAACGCGCTTATCGTTCTATTAGAGCATATTGTGCGGGTGATGATGATGAGAAAATCAATTAGAGGTGAAAAAATCAGATAATGAGCGATTGCTGAAGCACAATCGCAGCAAGCATTTGGCAAAGATGGGAGAGTAAAATCGCTGCTAGAGCCGTCCGTCGAGCAGTTTGGTCGTCCAGTGTCTCCTGGTGGGATGGTTCACGGAGTCTGAAATTATTTAAATGTTTTTGAAAATTTCCACTTCTCATCAAAAACCATTGCACATTGCGATTAAGTGCCCTTGAACGTTGTCTGATCATAATTAAGATCATAACAAGGAAGTTGTAAATTTTCGACCGGGTGCATAATAATCATAAATTTTTATGCGGGGATTATTTTTGAGATGTGAGCTGCTTTAATGGGGACTTGAATTTCCAGTTTTGAGGGAAAAAAAGGAAAACGCTGAAGAAAAGTTCAAATTTTGGAGGAGCAAGAATACTTGTTTGATTTTTTTTTCAATCGGAAATTTGCAAAAAATCCTCAAAATATAGCTTAAATCTAAATGAAGTTTCAAGTTTTTAAAAAAATTGAGTTCTTTAATTATGAATAAAATAAATATTTTTGTGGCTGAAACAACAGCTTCAGTATTACGAATTCGCCAAAGAACCAAAAAGTTTCTCTGCCAAAGGTGTAAGGTTCGAAGATGACAAGATCAAAGGTGACAAGGCGACGTCATCTTCTTAATCAGATATGCGAAAGTGTACAGTTTTCCGGAAAATTCCCCGATTCCTACAGTATATGATGACGCAACAAAAGTACACGAATTCAGAAAGTCACCCGATCTAAAACAGATTGTTAACTATCACATGTTGCCTAACTAATTCCAGACCCAAGTGTAACTGTTTCCCATGTTTTTCACGTTTTTCCTCAAACTTTCCATAGATCGTTCTAGAGAAGAAGGAACTCTGAAACTGAAACACGTGTCATTGAAACAGGCCGGTAGTCGACAGAGACAACCGTATGACACTGTGTCTAAAAACGATAAGAATCACGTTTTCACTTTTTTAGGACGAGGCGATATGATGAGAGATCAGATTATAAGAGGAAGTGGCTTATAGAGCTCATGGAAAACTTTTCTTCCAAATTTCTGGATAAACGACATATAATTCTTTTGAAACGTTTTTTTGATAAGAACTGTGTCTGTCAATCAGCGAATTGATAAACCAGATACCAAAAATAGAAAAAGGATTCCCCCGTTGTTTTAATGTTTACACACTTTGTCTATAATGCTTCCCTGTTTTCAAAAAATATACTCCACTTTGTTATCAACACCATATAGTAACCACTTGTTTTTGTAATCACTGAATCAAACCAGTGATCAGTTAGAATTTTTGAAAGAAATGTCTAATAAACATTGCAAACGAAACGGTGGTATGCAGGCACGGAACCGTAATACTCAGAAGTTCAACTTGAAGATTTCGCTTCGAGACCAATGCTTCTTTGAAAATTTAGCGTTCGAGCGCATTTACATGACGTTCTTATAAAAAAAACAAAACGAAAAAAAGAAAAAAAGTATCTCGCCGGGGGCAGGACTCGAACCTGCGTCGGGTCAGTGCCCTAAGAGTCGTTGAGACTCGCGCCTTGCCCCACTCGGCCACCCCGGCGGATATTCTGAAAAGTAGTAAACTTTAATAAAACCTATGGGAACTGGCTAAAAAGCGGGGGTTTCGATGTTAATGGGTGTCGGGAAGGTTTACGGAGGGATATGAGGGATATTGAGACGTAAGACATTGGCTGGGGCGCGTTTGGCGTGTTTTAGATTCGGCAAGGGCGCCTAGAGAAAGTGCGGTTCGTTGCAATTTTTGCTACGAATTTCGGCTGGTTGCCAGTCTTCAAAAAATTTCGAAACTTTGTTAAGTCACTACTCAGCTGACCCCCACTACGCCGAGACGCGACGCATCCAAACTTGGCTCGGTGCCAAATTTTACTTACAATGGTTTCCGGCCTGGCGGTGGAATCGTACTTCGTCCGTAGAATAGCGTGGAGTCGTGTTCGTCCGCGGATCTTCTGAACAAACGAAATTTCAAATTTCTCTCAAAATTTAAATTCTTACGGCGATGATCTCGATTGCTGTCGAATTCTACAAGCTCTCGCTTCCAATGCTTCCAGTCCCTTCTCAATCCACGTGTCAAACGATTCAATACCCTCAGCCATCACATCTATGCGAGTTTGAACGCTTTGAAGGATCTAAATTATGATGTTTTGATGCAAAAATTGGAGTTGTGAAAGAATGACAACTACAGTAACCTTTTGAAAAATTCCGGATTCTTTTTTTTCTCCCTTTTCAATTACTAATTTTAGTCGAGTTTTCTGTTATTTTTCCCAAAAAATTGAGACAATAAATCCGGAAAATAAAAAAAATTTTAGGTTACGATAGTTGGAAAAAATCTTACTGTAAGAAGATGCTTTTCTGAGCTATCCTGCTTTGGATCGAATAGATAATAAGCTAGAATTGGTTGTGGATAGGTCGCCAAATCGGCAATCAAGCAAAACAGTTCCGTATTGAATGGAAGCTCATTCTCACACAACGTCTCCACGCCTTCCAGTATCGTCTGAAGTAGCTTTGATCTTTCTGGGAAGGCGTAAATTGAGAATCCATCTGTTACTATACGCTTCCTTGGCTCTTCTATCAGGTTTTCTTCTAGATCCTTCTCTTCTTTTCCTTCTTTTTCATCTTCTCCAAGCTTCAAAGAATCATACTTTTCGTTTATGAAATCCATAATATTTTCCGCTGGAAGTCGTTCTCCTTTCACTTCTTGTTTTGATAGCAACTGCTTAAATGTCTCCATATCATTGACTTCTCTCCATCCGGATAGCACAAATGAGCTTTTTGGAGCTTCAGTGTCAGTTTCAGAATCCTCCACTCGAATCGGCATGGCATCGTCTGATTCCGATCCATCTAGTCCAGAAATATGCATGTAGTCTATTGTAGACTGGGTCATGACTTTAGAAGCTGTCATTTCTTCACCAAAATCTTCCATATCAATATTTGGAAGGATGAAATCATTATCTTCCTCCAATAAATCATCTTCCATCTCACTAAAATCTTCTTCTCGAGGTTTTCCAAGAGCACAAACTTTGTTAATATTGAACGATGGATGCGTTCCATTTGTGTATCTATACGGAGCCATTGAGACCGACGATCTGCTCGACGACATTCTAGAAAACGACACATGACACGTGGCATCATCATCAGATTCAGCTGGAAGCACGAAGCTTCCAGCAACCACTCCATCATACTTCCACTTCCATTTCCGGCATTGCTCAGCTCGCGCGTCCATTCGGATTCGCGTAGAGAACATGTAGAGCTCAAAAGAGCATGGGAGGCCGCCTGGAAAACTTGAAAAGGTTGGAAACTTCTAGAAAATTCAAAAAACCTCTCTATAATCCAGCATACAAACTGGAATACAGTTGAGATATGCTTGAGATAAATGTCCTCCTCTGGATGCTTTATAGACTACTGATAGCTGTTTTTTGGTGGCTGAATGGTTGGTGAGAAGCGGACGGAACACTAGAGCCAGCATCACGTCTTCACAGGCCAATTTGATAAAGGAATCGATAAGTGATAAGGCTGTTACAGAGGTTTTATCTCCTCCTTTCACATAGGAAATCACTATTTCGAAGAATATCGTTCCATTATCATCGCGTTCTGTTAGTATCATCTGGACTACTGACTTCACTAGAAGTGGCTCCACGATTGTTTCGATGCACATCTGAAAATTAGAAAAATGAAGTTTTTTTTTTCAGAAAGACCAGGGATGTTCAGAATGATTTTTTTTCGGAGTTTTCAAAATTCGTTTTTGAAATATCGAAAATTCCGATTTTGAAATTTATGGAATTTTTCAGAATTCGGAAATTTTTTTTAATATTTCGAAATATTGAAAATACCGATTTTGAAAGTTTTCGGAATTTTTCGAAATTTGGAAAATTGCAATTTTGGGATTTTTTTGGAACTTTTCGGAAAATCAGAATTTCGAAGATTCTGATTTTGAAATGTCCAGATTTTTTGGAATTTTGAAAATTCCGATTTTAAATTTTTTGGACTTTTTCCGAATTTCGAAAATTCTGATTCTTACATTTCCGAAAAGATTGGGATTTTGAAAATTGGTTTTTTTCAGAATTTCGGAATCTCGAAATTTCATAATTTTGGAATATTCTAATTTTCAAAATTTCAGAATTCCGGAATATTTTGATTTTCAAAATTTTGAAAAAAAATTTAGAACTCCGATTCTCATAGATACGAAACTTCGGATTTTCGAAAAATTCAGATTTTCCAAATCTCAAAATATCGGAATTTCGGAATATTCAATTTTTTTAAATTTCATCATTCCAGAATATTCCGATTTTGAAATTTTCAAAATTTCGGAATATTCGGAATTATAAAGTTCTGGAATCTTCTTAATTTTATAGCGGTGTTATAAAAAAAAAACCTTCCCCCTACCTGTAAATATACCATACTCGCACCAATGTATTCTCGATCATTCTGTAGAAACGCCGGTTTAATCACATTCGTCAAAAATCCCGTATAGAAAAACTCGGCGATGTTCCCAACAACTTCCGAATGGGCGGTTTGAGCAATAGCATTACAAAAAAGAAGTGCCGAATGATAATCAGCAAGGAAGTCTCTGTATTCATCCTCCACTAATCTCTCTCCTCCATCTCCTAATATTCTTCTGGGTAACTGAGAAAAACAAGCGGATAGTCCAGTGGTGAGTACTTGGCAGAATGAAGTTCTCTCGGTGACGTATTCAGCAATACTTTTGTCTTCTGCAGATACAGAAAGGATCAGAAGAACAGCATCTCTTGCCAGTTGTCCAGTGTCTCCGGCGGAATAGAGGAAGGGAATCAGCTCGGTGAAAACAACGAATTGGTTGGAATGGAAGAAAAAGTGAAGGAGTGTTCTGTCTTCAACAAGTTTTGTGCATATCTGATTCAGTAGAAGTACAAACATCTTTTCCGCTTCTGACGTCTTCTTGTTCTCCGATTTCGAGACTCTCCAGTAGATATCCGCTCTTTGGAACCATTCACACAGCCGGAATAATGGATTTAGAATTGGTTTATGGACCAGAAGACAGTGATTTTGGGAGTGAGAATCTGATACAATCATTTCGAATATTCTAATGATAGCCAGCTGGCAAATTGATTTCAAGGAATCTGTCAGTTGAATCGACCAATCCAAAACTCTCTCCAAAATTTGTTCAGTGAAGAATTTATCCAAAATCGGTCCGATCATTGGTTCTGGTTGTGAATTGGCTTCAAGCATCAGAAGAGTGCACATATTCGTCATATTTTCCAGAAGAGACATCAGCTCGTCATACACTACTTTGTGCTCTGGATCGATCAATTTTCGTTCTAGAATATTGCTGACGACGTTCCATTTTCCTTCGAAAAGACGTTCCCATTCTGTTGGATCCGATGCGTACGCTGATGACCAGCGGGCTCGTGAAACTGCGGTCGCTGAAAATATTGAAATTTTTTTCGAATTCTTTCCATAAGTCAGGGATGTTCGGAACGTTCGGAATTCCGAAAATTTCGACCGGAATATTTTAATTTCTGACATTTTTTTGAATTTTGGGAACTACAGAATGTCGAAGGCGCGCGCCAAAAGTTTTCTTGCGGGTTTCGAGCGGAATTATTTTAAATGTTTTTTTGCGTTTTTGAAGTCAATTTTTACGGATTTTGTGATGGGTGAGTTGACATTTGTAATTAAAAATCGGTTTATCCCGGAATTCCGACCATTTTCAGAATATTTTCGAAGCTTTTTTCGTAAATATAAAATTTTTCAAGCTACAGTAAGTCAAAGGCGCATGCAAAAAGTTTTCTTGTGGATTTCGAGTGGAATTGTTTTTTTTATTTTTCACCAATTTCTCGCGCTTTTGTGATCGGAATTTCCGAATTTTTTAAAGTTTCGACGATTTTTTGATGAAAAATCCCGAATTTTTTGTGATTCTCGTAATTCTGAACATCCCTGCTAACACTTACGCGTTCCCGAATACAGCTCATCTCGCACCCAGTCACTTGACGACTCCTGCGGTTTCAGCGGCGATGTGATCTTGTCTAGCCATCTTTTCATTCCAAATGACCTGCAAAAAACAGTTTCAGGTTATTTGAAATAAAAATTCCGATGCGAGATATAAATGGAAAGTTCCAGTCTAAAAAAACTTAAAATTTCAAATAGTTCGGCAGAAAGGCAGTTTTATTGATAAGGCAACAACAGGTATTCAACAAAGTACAACGAATGACAACGAAAAAAGTGATTATCAAATCTGAACAGCAGATTTTAGAACTGTAACATAGGCTGGATGGTAGTACTTGGAGGTGGAATTCCGGACCATCACCACGGTTTTAGCTGAAATAAAGTAATTTTTGATTTCTCACCGATTATTCAGGTACAAATATGATACCTGTGGCCGCAGCTGAAGGTCTAGAAAGGAAAATTACCGTAACCTCAAAAATATTTTTTTCCCGTTTTATTCTCTCGTTTTTCGTGGTTTATCGTCAAGTTTTCTGCTATTTTTCTCTTTAAAAGTTAACTGAAAACGCACGAAAATCGAGATGATAAATCCGAAAATTGGCAATATTTTTAGGTTACTGTAACTGTCGTTGCGGGACCGTCGGCCTCCGATTTTTTGTATCAGAATAATATATCCAACTCACTTTTATGATAGTTAGAAGCGATTCTGAGCAAAGCGTTCGCACAAATGTAGCCAACGGCAGTTCCGTGTCCAGCAAGTACACTCTGTTCGCCGGCAACCAGTCGACCGATTATCTCACTGCAATTATTATAAATAGTTCAATGTGAAGAAGGCGTCATTACGGTATACCGATTAGCCGAGAATCTGTACTTCACTTGTTCTCTCTGCGTCTCTTCCTCCTCATTCTCTAATTTTCGCTTCTCGAATTCCAACTTTCTACGCTTCCTGGACTCCTTTTTCTTTCGATTTGCTCGTTTTCGCTTTGAGGTCCTGAACTTAAAATTTTTAGCTTTTTAAATTTAAAAAAATCCTATTTCTTCTTTTTAAAAACTCACTTATCATCCAGCCGAGTGGTCTCTTCGAAAAGCCATTTCAAGTTGATCGGTTTCTCAGAAGCAGCCGCCTGTAGAGAAACAAATCCCTGCATCATCTTCCTGGTCTCTGGAACCTCTTCTTCGACTTCCATCGGCTCCACATCATCTCCATCTGTAGAAAATGGAGGCGTTTGAATGATTTCTTTGGTTTTATCCAATCGAATCAAGACTAAATCTTCTTCCGTTGGAATACAAACCATCCCGAATTTTTTAGGCCTTCCTCTTCCGAAAAACTGAAGTCTCACTGGAATCAGCATTCCTGGTTCTTCCTTCTGAACTTCTCCGTGTCCCTTTAAATTCATCTGAATCTCATTTAACTTCTGAAGATCACGACACGCAAAAGCCTTCGTTTCCGATGGCCCATCATTCCAATCAGTGACCAACTCATCAAATTTATATTCAAATGGATATTTGACCGAAAGAGCACTCCAGTACTTGCATCGACGATTGTGCGGCTTTCCTTGATACTTTTCAGTTAGCTCGGCCCTCATAACGGCTTCAGATTCCTTGCCAGCTTCTGATTCCACGTCATCCAATGGGAAGTATAGGGCCTTGGATTCCAAATGTGCCGCGTATTCGTCTCGAAGACCACTGGCACGCACACCACGACGTTGGAGGGACACCCATAGATCTTTGGCTGGAATTTATTGGAAAAATTAAAGTTTCAAATTGATAAAAAATGTTGATTTTTGTGCAGAAATCATATTAAAAGCTTCTTTTTTCCTTCATTGAGAAGAATGCATTTTTCGATGGTTTTTTTCGAATTTTCTGTCGTATCTGTATGATTTTCTGCACAAAATAAAGCTGAAAAATAAAGACTTACAAAAGGGCTCTGGAATTAAGATATCAACTCCATCCAGCGCCTTCAACCCTTCGTTACGAATAATTAACACTATTGGAATCTTTGCAGCGGTTGAGACAACTCCATTGATCCTAGAACCATTTTGCTTATGAAATTCGACATCTGCCATCCGTTTCTCCACTGCTTCCTCTCTCGTTTTCTTGTTCCAGAATTCATTTTTCCCTCCTCTACAATCTTCCAGATTATGTTCCATTTTTGCTCGTTTTTTATGCTTCACAGCAGATTTTCGATCCCAAGTGGTCCGTGGATCTTCGATGAGCAAATATATCACTTCCCCATTCCGAGTAGAAGAAAAAATTGAGTCAGAAACGCCAAGAAATCTGCTGTGACTCCTTTCAAATTTCTCATTTTCCACCAGCCGAATCGAGTCTCGAAGTTTCAAAAGACACTTTGGACCGGATAAATGGAAACGGCTTAGGTGCTCCGAGTCTACAGAAACTGTCATTTCTGGACTTTTGAATAGATGGAATTCTGACTTTTCTTCTTGCTGTAGTTTGTAGTATTCCGAAAATGCACTCAGAAACTGGGCCTTGCTAGATGGGTGAATCCAAATGTGTACTTGATCTTGATATCCAGCTAATTTTTGGAATCTAGCAGGTCCAATATATCCATAAGGGTATTTTCCAGGAGAATACAATTGATGACATTCCTGAAAATTAAAAAATTAAATAAATAAAAAATAAATCAGCAGTAGCATCAGAATGATAACAGCTGACAAGAGAACCGGTTCATCACCTCTTCTTCACCGCGTGACGATTGCCCTCTGCATGATTTCTGTGAGAATGGCAGCATTTTTGAATACGCATCTGGGCACTCGACCTAAAAAATATATCAATAAATAATACCAAATTTCGAGTTTCTCACAGTAATACAGGTGTAATACGACCTGTCTCGAATCACACAATTCTTGTTGGAATCGCGAAGAACCGCTCGAAAACCCCGTTGAAAACTTCGATCCGCAATTTTGAATCCCCATTTTTTGATCATTCGGAAGCGCTTCGCGTGCCAGACATGAGTGGACAGCCAGATTCCTTTAGTGCTGGTGCTTCGGCCGAATTTCTGAAATTATTCGAAATTGGCCTAAAATGGTCTGAACTTGACGTAAAATCGTCCGAAATTGGCTAAACATGGTTTTCAAATGTCTTAAAATTCGGGTTTTTAGCGCTTTTTCACCATTTTTGGCTATTTCCAGGCCATTTTTAGACGATTTTTCAGCTATTTCAGACTCCAAAATGAAACAAAAATAGACCAAAATTGGTCCAGAATGGCCTAAAACGCTCCAAGATGGTCTAAATTGAATCAAAATTGGCAGAAAAAGGTCTAAAATGACCTAGCAAATTATCTAGAAGGGCTAGAAAAAAAAATAGACCGGACGATTTCAGGTTTTTTGGCTCTTTTGGACCATTTTTAGGCTATATTAGGCCATTTTTCGGTCGATATTAGTCATTTTGGGCTACTTCCAGATCATTCCAGACGATTTTTTTCAGAGGCTACTTTCAGGCTAGTTTTAGGCCATTTTCAGGTCATTTTTAGGTGATTTAATGTTATTTTGGGATATTTCTAGGTCATTAAGACTAGGTTAGACCATTTTCGAGCTCTGTTTTAGGCTTTATTGGAAGCGTTTTTGATAACTTTCGGGCCATTTTAAGCTTATTTGAGGTCATTTTGGACTACTTTCGACTATTTTTTGTCAAAAAAAAAATAAGATTTTCAATTTTTTTTTTGAATTTGTGCAATAAAATTAGGTGAATACATATATTTTAAAAAAATTTGAAGCTATAAAATTTTTCGAACGAATCTTACATTTCTAGAATTTGCAGTTTTCCTCCTAGCAAACCGACTCGGGCACTTTTTGGCATGCTTCGATAGCAGATGTGATGCTGCGAATTCTCTCATTGATCTTGGAAACCGTCGAACATCATAAGCCATCGCTCGTCGTCTCATATGACGTGGCAGTCTTTGTGCGGCAGTTCTGGGTCCTTTCGTGACTTCTCCTGATACCAACGCATCGTTATCAATGGCTTTTAGGAGTTGTGCAATGGAATTTGTGCGAGCTTCTACAAATTTTTCTACAGCGATAAATCGAGGTTTTTCGATGGGCGGGCGAGAGATATCCATCTGGAATTTTTTTTTAATCTGGAAAAGCTTTTAAAAAGAGCAAGAAAAGATATAATAAAAGAGAAGATAACTTGGGGATGAATAAAGAGATGATGAGCGAAATCATTAATTTTCAAATTTTATTTTAATAATTTCAACAGAAAAAAAGCAACAAAAATAAACGAAAACTAACTATTAGAAAAAAAAAAGAAAACTACTGAGATCTCCTATCAACAATCCAATCTACACATTGGCCTCCTTCTCCTGCTCCAATCGTCTGATTTGCAGCGCTCTTCTCTCCTCAAACAACATTGATTCCTCTTCCAACGGTTTGTCAACCACTTCTTCCACCAAAACTTTCTTCAAATCGATCTCATCGGCGAACGTATCGTTGAAAATCTTGCGGCCGGTGACTGGGTCGACAACGTTTCCGAATTTGAAAACGACGCGGTCGACCATATGGGAGACGTTGGCTTTTGGGCGGGATGAACCATCGATTTGTTTGATCAGCACTGTATCTCCAATATTTCCAACTAAGGTTCTGGAATTTTTAATTGATTTTTATTCCGAATTCAAAAATCTAACCTGTCTAGTGCCCAGAAGTCGAAAGATCTGGCGAAATACTTTTTAAGATAGATATTGAACTCGTTCATTTGGCATCGAACCTGAAAAAATGATCTTATAAATTCAAAAAGTATTGGAAATCCTTACTTGAGCGCATGGAATTCGGTCGATTCCGATTTGAGTGATATCGGTGATTTTACCCATCAAAATTTGGGTTCCGACGCGAGACTTCCACACTGAAGTTTTCGGCATCTGAAATGTGCATATTTAGGGGTTCATTTGATATGTAAACATTCAGAAGAAACAGAAAACGATGAAAAAAATAGCGTCGCAAAAATTGAACACTTTTCTACTGAGTCTGCGACTAGCCGTGGCGGTGTTTGCGGACAATGCAAGCGAGCTCCCCCAAAACTATTTTTGGAATGAAAATTCATAGAATTTCTAAACCTTCTTGTTGTTTCCGTCTCTCTCTCTTCCTTCTTATTATCGATTCAGAATGATCTGAAGCGTGCGCAATTAGTCTGGCAGCAGCAGAGCACCCCTCCCTCCTATTCTTTTTCCTGTTTCTATGGAAATTTCCAAAAATTTGTGAAACCCAAATTTATGAAATTCAAAATTTTCAGAAAATGGCTGCCAATATTCAACAACAATTTGGAGAGCAACTTCTCCGTGCCGCTCAAGTTGTCGAAGAGCAAATCGACCAGGAGATGAACAAGCTGGAAAATTTAGAAGAGGATGATCTTGAAGTGATCCGTCGTCAACGTATGGAACAGATGAAGAAGGCGCAGAAGGACAAAATCGAAATGCTTTCGAACGGACATGGAAAATACGAAGAATTGGCAGATGAGAAGGAGTTTTTCGAGGCGACGAAGAAGAGTGATCGTGTCGTGTGCCTCTTCTATTTGCCTGGAAACTTCCGCTGCAAAATTATCGACAAGCATCTCGAAATTCTTGCCAGAAGACATGTCGGAACCCGATTCATTCATATCAACGGAGAAAAAGCTCAATTCCTGTCCACTCGTCTCAACATTCGTGTCATCCCAACAATCGCTATTATTGTGGTAAGCATCCGGTTTCAAAATTGAAATATAAACAAAATTTGACATTATTTAGAAGCAAAACACCGTTGACTACATTCGCGGATTCGATGATTTGGGAGGCAAAGATGATTTCACCACGGAAACCCTTGAACATCGTCTGGCTCGCTCTGAAGTGATTACTGTCGAGAAGAAGCATGTAGCCCCGGCTAAGAAGAAGATCATCCGGTCCGGAGTTGATGAGTACGACAATGAAGAGGACTGGTAGATGACCGTACTCTGATTTTCCCCTTCTAATCAATTTCTTTGATTTTAATTCGCTGAATAATTATGTGCACTCAGATGATCTCACATAATTTCTCTCGCTTCGGTTGTCCGTAACCTTCCTGTTCTCTGAAAATCTATATATTCAAATAAATTGCATGATATTCTCAGATAGTTGTTCTAATTATTTCGGTAACTATCCACTTTTATATTCCATTTTAAAAAAAAGTAATGATAACAACTGAATTAATTAAAGTCATGAAGGAGTCAACTAGAACTTCCACGCCCTCATCTGGGGCAAAACCCAAAGGCGATAGAGAAATTTGTCTCCGACCGAGTAGTTCGGTATTTTTAGGAGATCAGCAGTTATAGTAAGTCAGCTGACAGTCGCAATTAAAGATAATTAGGAGTAATTCAGCTTCACTCAAGAGTATCTGGCGACGAATTCGTTGAATATGAAGTATGTTGTCTACTTCGCAGCTTGCCAGTTTTCGGGACCAATCGGTAATTTTTTTTTTGTAATTTTTGACATTAAAATGGTCTCTTTAATAAAATTACTTCGAAAAATTCGAAATCCATCGAAAACGCCAAGTTCTCGTTCATGAGGGAATCCTAGTCCAAGGCCACTGTGTGCGCTGTTTTTTGTGTCTTTTTTCTAAATTTTCAGAAAAAAATAATTTTTTTTCTTTGAAAATTCGATGAAGAGAACAAAAAAGTCTCGAATTTTTCCGAATATTTTCGAATAAAAGCAAAAAAACACCACAATTTTTTGATTGGAGTCCTTTTTTAAGTAGATTCATCATACTGAAATTTTTTACAGCTGTCATTTACGCCGCCCCAAAATCATGGTTCATCTGGATTCGCACGATCAGTGGGCGAATCTTAAAACGAGATTTGCCATGCACAGATCCAGTCTTCATCGATTGGACTCGCGCCCATTGCCTCCTTGTCCTGAGCAAAAACGGAAGAGCCCAAGTGCTTTCATCGATCGGAGAGAAGGTTTCCGAAGTCTTTTTCGATAATCAAGTCTCCGATGTCCATGAGTGTCGTACATTTGCCACGTCACGAGGGGATAGTGGAATCGCAGTGATGGATGTAGATGGGCAGGTAGCAGTGGTGAATTCTGTGTCGGAACCAGTGATTTGGAGCATGAGACCTCCATACTCAGAGCTTCCGACGGCGTGGACAGCGTTTCAGCCACACTCTCAATTGACGCATATCCTTTTGATTTTCGAGGCAGTTTTTCTGATGGGATGTCAAGGAGAATCACTTCAAGTTCAGAATCATGCTTCGGTTTGGGTGGATTCAAGTACAAAATATGTGAAATGCGTTGTTGATGATGCTCGGAGCAGGATTGCGATGATGACGGAGAATGGAAAGATACAGGTAGAGAGAGAGATAAAGAAAGACGCAGACATTTTCGAAATTATACGAACCTATTTAGATCGTCTCCATTGACCTGTCCACCTGCTTCTGCACAGTTGAAGTCACCGAACACGAGATTGGAAAATGCATCAATTTCGGATGGGTCGGAAATTCCGTTGTATTCGTTCAAATGTCCTCATCACTAACTGTCTTTGTCAACGTCAGTGCTCGGAGGAAGCCAGGAGACGAAGTACGGTTTATGAGTATGTAAAAATCCACGTCGCACTTTTAAACAGACATAATTTTTCTTCAGAAAAATGACAGCTAATGCTCGAATCAGTGTAGAACCCGATGGCATTCGACTCTTTGAATCCACTCGAGTGGAATTCGTTGAAGCGGCCAGCAGGGAAAAGATTGCAGTTCTCAACCGAAGCCTTAATGAAGACGGTGCCTATTTGTACAAAGCGGCTCAAGAAATGGAGCAAGGAACCGGTCACAACTCATTCGCTGCTTCTACAGTAATCCAGGATATGTACAAAGCTATTGATGACTGTATCTCGACGGCATGTGACACGTGGCAACCAGAAGAGCAGAAGTTGCTTTTGAAGGCTGCTAGATTCGGCATGGCTTATACCAATACGACACCGGATACTACAAAACTGATGAGAGCAATCAAGGAGATCCGAGTGCTCAATGAGCTTCGAATGGTTAGAACTGGCATCCCTCTCACTCATCGGCAGTATCGAATCATTGGAGATACTTGCATAATCAATCGTCTTATCGACATGGGCTCCTACAGTGTCGCCATCAAAGTAGCTCAATGGCTCGGTGGAGAGAATTGTGAGAGTGTGGATCGAGTACTCCTCGAATGGGTTCGTCGTTCGATCAGCAAAGTGTCTCGGAGCAATATGAAGATGGATCAACCTGCACTGGAGGCTCTAGATGAGAAGATATCCGCGAAGCTGCTACAGTTCCCACATGTATCGATGGCTGATGCTGCCCGTCGAGCTATCGAAGCCAAGCTTCCAGAGCTCGCTAGACTTTTTATTCGACGAGAGACGGATGACGAGAGCCACGTAGCTGTTCTCCTACAGTTGAACGATGTGTCAGCAGCACTTACAAAGGCAGCAGCGTCCCAGAGACCTCAACTGATCCATCAAGTGGTAAGACATTTGATGACAAGTGAGAGCAGATCCAGTTATGAATTGGCTATCAGTAGAATCCCACTTGCTCAATGTCTTTATCAAGACCTAGTTCGTCAAGAGGGAGAAACAAGAGGAATCTCTTCTCGACAGATGTTGGCGCTCTTGGAGCAAGCTAGCGATTTCGAGAGGCAAACGCTGTTTCATTTCGATGTTGCTGAAATTGAGAGAAATGTAAGTTCTGCGCTTTTGAATCAATACCAATTACCTAATACATATTTATACCTAATTACCTAATTCTACCTAGTTTCCAAAATCCTAATCGTCGCATTTCAGCCCAGCGAACGTTTGAATGCTCTCCGTCGTGCGAAAGATGCGGCGAAAAGCATGGGTGACAAAGCGATCGAGGAGATTCTGAACGATGTCAGTGCATTTGCTCCATTGCAAATTCAGCGGGGTCAAGCGGATATGTCGGTGAGGGATACGATTATTGAGATTGCGGATGATACGGCGAAAGTGGCTCAGTTGAAGCAGCAAGCGAGATTGAACGATAAGCAGTAAGACTGGAAATCTAGGTTATTTTCTACAGTACTATATTTCCAGAGTTCTCCTATGGACTATCGAAGGTCTGGCAAAGAAGGGAAAAATGGAGCAGTTGTTTGATTTGGCTCAGAAACGATCGCCAATTGGATACGCGCCATTTGTCAAAGCCTGTGTTCGATACAAGAGAAACGAGGAGGTCAACAAGTACTTCGCCAAAGCCAATGGCTACTCAGATCTGGTCGCTGCGAATCTGGCCAAGAAGAATTATGTGGATGCTGCCAAGCTGGCTTATGATCGGAGGGATCGGGAGGTACTCCATGCTATTCACATGAAGTCCCACGATGATCCGGTGCAATGTCCGAGAGTGAAGCAGTTGCTGAATTCAATGGATCAGGCTTGATCTAATTTATGTAAATTATAGAAATTCTGTGATACTTATGAACATATTGCCTATTTTTTTTTGTTTTACGAGTCAATAAATCTGCCTTGCTATGTCTTCTTCTTTGCATTTTCTGAATGTTTCTGAGTGTCTTTTTATCACTTTTATTTATCTTTTTTCTCTTATTCTCTATTTTTCTGGTACAAAAAGATCGGAAATTGGCTCTGGTCCCAAAACGTAAACTACCGTAATCTATTTTATTTCCGGATTTTGCAGCTTTTTTCTGCCATTTTTATTAGAAAAATCAAATAAAATCGCAAAAAATCGGTTACTGTAGTGGTCGTTTTGAGACCTTCGGCCTCGATTTTTTTTTCAAATTCTCGTAATCTAGAATTTCTTCTGTTTTCCGGATTTTTCTTGCTCTTTTTTACTGCTTTTTCGGCTATTTTCCCCCTGGTAGTGAAGAGATTGACGAAAATGCACGAAAATCGATAAAACCCGGAAAATTTTTTTTTTGGATTACGGTAGTTGTCGTTTTGAGACTTTCGTCCACGGCCAAAGCTCCAATTTTTCGTACCAAACTAATATCTCAATTTTCCAAATTCTCCCCTTTCAGCCTTCCCGAAAATGTCGGCTTCGAAACTGTGGTCTTGCACCGAAACGGTGCTAAATGGAGGTATCAAACTGTTCCTGTACTCTTCGAAGAATACAAAACTGCGTGTTGCCATCGGAGAAGTTCCCGGACCAATGGTCCATGGAGCGGTGTCATTTGTCACTGAAGCGGATTCAGATGACGGTCTTCCACATACACTCGAGCATCTTGTGTTCATGGGAAGCAAGAAGTATCCATTCAAAGGAGTTCTTGATGTGATTGCTAACCGTTGTTTGGCAGATGGAACCAATGCGTGGACTGATACAGACCATACCGCCTATACGTTGAGTACAGTAGGATCTGATGGTTTTTTGAAAGTTCTTCCAGTCTATATAAATCACTTGTTGACCCCAATGCTGACAGCTTCTCAATTCGCCACTGAAGTCCATCATATCACAGGAGAGGGAAACGACGCAGGAGTCGTCTATTCTGAAATGCAAGATCACGAATCTGAAATGGAGTCAATCATGGATCGGAAGACGAAAGAAGTCATCTATCCACAACACAACCCATACGCCGTTGATACTGGAGGCCGCCTGAAGAATCTTCGCGAATCGTGTAGTCTTCAAAAGGTTCAGGACTACCATAAGAAGTTCTATCATCTTTCAAACATGGTGGTTACTGTATGTGGAATTGTGAATCATGAGCAATTGCTGGATATCATGAATGAGGTGGAGAATGAGCATATTGTCACTAATCCAGATCATTTCCCTAAACCATTCAATTTCACTTTACCCGAAATCAAGGAATCTACAGTTCATAAAGTCGAATGTCCAACTGATGATGCCTCGAGAGGAGCTGTAGAAGTCGCGTGGTTTGCTCATCATCCATCGGATCTGGACACCCATTCTTCTCTTCATGTTCTTTTCGATTATATGTCCAACACTTCTGTATCACCACTACAAAAAGACTTCATCCTTTTGGAAGACCCCCTTGCCAGCTCAGTTTCCTTCCATATCGCCGAAGGAGTCAAATGTGACATGCGACTCAATTTCACTGGAGTTCCTGTGGAAAAACTAGAGCAAGTGGTTCCAAAATTCTTCGATAAAACCATCTGTGAACATTTGGAAGAGGCCAATTGGGATATGGAGAGAATGGGATACTTGATTGATCAGAGCATTCTCAATGAACTTGTAAAATTGGAAACCAACGCTCCAAAGGATATCATCTCTCATATGATTGGACATCAGCTGTTTGATAATGAAGACGTGGAGCTTCTGAAAAAGAGAACCAATGAGGTTGACTTTTTGAAGAAGTTGAAGTCTGAGCCAGCTTCTTATTGGGTGCAATTGATCAAGAAATATTTTACAACGCCTAGTGCAACGGTTATTGGAGTGCCAGATGAGGAGCTTGTTGATAAGGTAAGCCCAAGAAAGTTATACGTTGAAAATATGGGAGTCATTTCAGATTGCCAAAGAAGAGGAGGAAAGAATTGAAGCTCAATGCAAGAAACTTGGTGAGAAGGGACTTGAGGAGCATGGCAAACTTCTGGAACAAGCCATCAAGGAGAACACGGCCAACCATCCAAGTGCTGAACTTCTCGACCAGTTGATTGTGAAGGAATTGGAAGCATTCGATCGGTTCCCAGTGCAATCATTGACTTCTGAATCACCATCTCTCACTGCTCAACAAACCAACTTCCTCTCCCAATTCCCATTCCATATCAATCTTCACAACTGTCCAACTAAGTTCGTGGAGATCTTCTTCCTCATGGACGCTTCTAATCTTTCTGTTGAAGATCGTACTCTTCTATATCTCTACACTGATCTTCTATTCGAGTCTCCGGCTATGATTGATGGAATCCTTACATCCGCTGATGACGTCGCCAAGCTCTTCACCAAGGATCTAATCGACCATTCGATTCAAGTTGGAGTCTCCGGACTTTACGATCGTTTTGTTAATCTTCGAATCAAAGTTGGAGCTGACAAGTATCCATTGCTCGCGAAATGGGCTCAAATTTTCACCCAAGGAATCGTTTTCGATGCGTCAAGGATTCAAATGTGTGCACAGAAATTGGCTGGAGAGGCTAGAGATCGCAAGAGGGATGGGTGTACTGTTGCTTCAACGGCAGTGGCTTCATTGGTTTATGAGAAAAGTAAGTTTTTAATTTTTGATTCAGATCATTAACATACCATTCACAGACACCAACTGCCTTCTTTTCGACGAACTTGTTCTTGAGAAACTCCACGAGAAGATTTCAAAAGAAGCTGTCAAGAATCCAGATGCGGTTATTGAGAAACTCGAGCGAGTCCGTAGTGCGATCTTCTCGAACGGAGTCAACGCTCACGTCATTGCCGATGTTGATGGAATCGATCCTAAGCTTATGAGTCAAGATCAATGGACTTGGGTTCAATCGGATCCTCGATTCGGACCAGGAACCCGTTTCACAGCAGAAGCAGGAGAAAACGTTTCCCTTCAACTCGGAAAAGAGCTTCTTGTTGGCGTTGGTGGTTCTGAATCATCATTCATTTATCAAACCACCTTCATTGATGCCAATTGGAATTCTGATGTTCTGATTCCAACAATGATATTTGGTCAATACTTGTCTCAATGCGAGGGTCCGTTATGGCGTGCAATCCGTGGAGATGGTCTTGCCTATGGAGCTAATGTGTTTGTGAAGCCAGATCGCAAACAAATCACTCTCAGTCTCTACAGATGTGCTCAACCAGCAGTAGCTTACGAGAGAACCAGAGATATTATTGTTAGTTTTTGGCTTATTTTCCATTAATTAAAAAATCTATTTTTCAGCGCAAAATCGTCGAAAGCGGTGAAATCTCCGAGGCTGAATTCGAAGGAGCCAAGAGATCCACAGTTTTCGAGATGATGAAGAGAGAGGGAACTGTTAGTAGTGCTGCGAAAATCAGTATTCTAACAACTTCCGTCAGACTCCTCATCCATATAATATGTCAGTTCTGAATAACGCCTTCATCTCAAAATTCTAAATGTTCCAGTGAGCTCTGCCGCCGCATCTGGAATTTGACATCCGATGAAATGGTCAAAATCGGAGGACCCCCAATGGCTCGTCTCTTCGATGACAACTGCTTCGTTCGTTCCATCGCCGTTCATCCTTCGAAAATCAACGAGATGAAGAAGGCGTTCCCGAAGTGCACCAAGATTAAGGTATCGGATTTACAGTTCTCTTGCTAGTCCCTAAGTATTTTCTTTGTTTCTTTGGGTACATGTTTTTTACTTGTTTCTGCTCAGATTTTTGATTTTTGTTAAATTTATTTATAATGCTATTTTCTTTCTTATTCAAACTGCGAATCAAACATGAAATTGATAAAACTGGAGTGTTAAAAGAGGGGAATGCAATTGAAAAAAAAAAACAAAAGTTTAGTTTAGAACAAGTCGTTTCCTGGAATCTCAAATTTGCCAGAGAACTCCTCAACCCGCTTGGCCAACTCGGCGACTTCTTGCTTGAATTGCTCATTGGTGGCGGTGAATGCCTTGAAGTCCTTCAGTGTTTTTCCAGCCTCAGCGTTGTATTTCTTGGCAATTTGAACACCTGAAATTTAAGACTTTAGATAAAGAGAACCCAGATACAAGGTTACCTTCATGAATGAAATCTCCAACCTTCTCGAAGTCTTGCTCCTTGAATCCACGAGAAGTGAGAGCTGGAGTTCCCAATCGGATACCTCCTGGTCTTAACGCCGACACATCTCCTGGACACGTATTCTTGTTGCATGCAATATGAGCCAAATCGAGAATGTGCTCAGCACGAGCTCCCTCGACACCAATTGGACGCAAATCGACAAGCAACAAATGGTTGTCAGTTCCACCAGTGGCCAATGAGTATCCGTGCTTCTTTAATCTCTCAGCCAACGTCTTCGCGTTCTTCAGAATCTGCTCTCCATATTGAACAAAGTCTTCCGAGAGACATTGTTTCAAAGCGACAGCGATTCCAGCGATAGTATGGTTGTGTGGTCCACCTTGAAGTCCTGGGAACACGGCTGAGTTGATCTTCTCCTCAAGATCGTAGAGGGTCTCAACACCCTTAGCATTCACTGATCTGACTCCCTTTCTGTAGAAGATCATAGCTCCACGTGGTCCACGAAGCGACTTGTGAGTGGTGGTTGTAACAACGTCAGAATACTCGAATGGCGATGGGATGAGTCCAGCGGCGACGAGTCCAGAGATATGCGCCATGTCAGACATCAAATAGGCTCCGGCCTTGGTGGCGATCTTGCGGAAACGCTCGTAATCCAAGTGGCGAGCATAGCAGGAGACTCCAGCGATGAGCACCTTTGGACGGAAGAGCATGGCGTTTTCCTCGAGTTTATCGTAGTCAATTAGGCCGGATTGAGCATCAACTTTGTATGGCATCGATTGGAAGAATTCAGAAGTGGCAGACACTTTGCGAGCTGGGGTGAAGAAGCTGAAACAATCAAGGTATTGTCTCGAAGATAAACTGAAGCTAAGCTAGCTAAAAAACTCTTACCCATGGGTCAAATGTCCACCATCCGGCAAATCAAGACCCATAATTCTTCCATTGGCACCAACGAGAGCAGTGTAAACAGCAAAATTAGCTGGAGATCCCGAAAGCGACTGTACATTGACTCCCCACTTGGCTGGATCCAATCCGAACACCTCGAGAGCTCTCTTCTGGCAAAGGATCTCCATTTGATCGATGAACTCGTTTCCTCCGTAGTACCGAGCTCCCGGATATCCCTCACTGTACTTGTTGCACATTGCGGAGCCAAGAGCATCCATGACAGCTTTGCTGGTGAAATTCTCAGAGGCGATGAGCTCGAGACCACGGCGTTGGCGGCTCTTCTCCTGAAAAAAGGAAAAAATGTGCTGAAAATGAGTTTTAAAAATGGGATAACTTACATTCTTCATGATATTGAACACTTCTGGATCGATCTTCTCAACATGATCCTTCAACAGATTCTCGTTGTTGGCATATTTCTGACGTTGAACTGGCTCCAGAGGAGTGTGCACTTGACGATCGGCCATTGTGAACTGAAAAATTGATTTAAGCATTCAACAGAAATAGAAAATCTGATAGGAAAAAGCAAAAGTGAACATAACTGGACAAAAAGCAAAAATCAGACAAATGGGAGGAGGGGAAATGCAAATGATTCCACATATGGAATCGGTGGTCGTCTGTGTTGTTGGCTGTGTGTGGGGGGAGGAAACTGGATCGAGAACTGATCATATCTTTGCACCGGGAAGTGTTTCGAACGCGCATCATTCAAGATTGTTTCGGGAAAATGTTTCAAAGATCTTTCGAAAAAAAAACGCGGGATTTCAAGAAAAATCCAAAATTTCGAGTTTCGTGTCGAAACCCCACATTCCGAATTGGACAATGTTCCTTTAAAGTTCTACAGTAATCTTTTTTTACAAAATTTTACAGGATTTCAGTCCAGAAAATTGGGGGGTACGACGAGTTCGAACGTTTTCAAAATCGAACAGACCTAAAATCGAACTGATTCAATTCAGAACAGTCCTTTTTTCGCACACTTACCAGAACAGAACGCGAACAGAATCGAACTGTTACAAGTTCGAACTGGTAAGGGGTCGAACTGTCCCAAATTGGAACACTGCCTGCAACAGAGCGCGCAGGAAAGCACACAAAACATCGTAATTTTTCGAAAGATCAAGGTCTCAAAAATCGCCAAATTTAAAGGGAAAAAAACAAAAAATCCGAATTTCGCATCGAGACCCTACCAATCCGAGTAATGTTCCTTTAAAATTCTACAGTAATCATTATATTATTTTTAACGAAATTTTACAGGTTTTCGGTTCAGATTCAGCGATTTTTCGAGACAAAAAAGGGTTATTTTTCACCAAAGGTGTCTTTTACAAATGGTGACATTCAAATGTTGGACAAGAGGAGGCGACGGCAGTGAACAATAAAAAGTGCGAGCGCCAAGCTGTTGCAAAAACAAATTCAAAAACCAAACTTGACAATATTTTTTCGTTCGAAAAATGCACAACTTGCAACTAGCAGAATAGAATATAAAAAACAGAACGAAGAAAAAAACAATTGTCTGTCTTATCACCACTGGCGCTGGGTCAGTGTCAATGATATTCGGTTTACTGGACAAGACAAGGATAGATAAAAGAGTGATAAGCGCGACGAGATTTTTTATGATGACGAAGATCACTTTCTGATCGAGAACACAAAGTGGACAGAGAGAAAAGCCGAATTGAAATTTGGCGCCAACGAATGAAGTACATATGTAATGAAGTCTACGAAAAAATGCAGACAAACCTGAGATGCCAACAAAACTCTGGATCCGGCAAGCAATCCTGTCATTGTTTTTCTACTCACTGCTCTCGCGAACATTCTGGAAAATTGACCGATTTAGAGAAAGTTAGAATGAAGGCGTCTATAAAAAGTATCGATCACGCCAGACCTCGATCGTTATCAGGTCTTATCAGTTCAGTTGTTGCAAACAAGACAAAAGGCAAGAAATTTCTTGAGAAACTTGCCTTTTTTACGAATTCAGTAGTTTGAATGCGAACCTTGAAAAGCCAAAGAGTTTGACCGCTATCGCCGACAATTGATAACGATGTCATCCCACGTTTTCCAGAGAGCACAAGGTCAAATAGCACACAATCGGTTTATTAGGTCGAAATTGGGTTTCTAGTAGAAATAATATTATGGAAAGACATGAAACTGGGATAAAGAATATCTTTAAATGCAAAAACAAGTATATTAAAATTTATTATTTAGCTTTCGTCAGACGAAGATCCCGTTTTCTCGCGGCATCCGTTGATTTTCGAATTGCCCTCTGCTCCTCCGTTTCACATTGAATCTGCTTACGACGTCGTGCAGCATCCGCAGCTCGTCTTGCAGCAGCTGCTTCGAAAGACTCGTTCTTCAGACTCTCACGTCGTCGCTGCGCATTCTTCTCCCGTCGAAGCTGAGCTTGTTCTGGTGTTTCTTTCTTTAAAGCCTGACGTCTTCTCTCAGCATCCTTGGCTTTTCTTGCCTCTGCTTTCTCGAATGACTCGTTTTGAATATATTTTCGTCGTTGTTCAGCAGCTTTTGCTTTCCGGATTGCTGTTTGTTCCTCAGACTCATTGTTACGTTCCGCACGCTTTCGAGCAGCGTCTATCGACAATCGCAGCTTCTGCTCGTCTTTCGACTCAACGCTGATTCTTCTTTTCTTGTACTCCTGAGCCTGCTGAAGACGTCGAGCTGTTTCTTCTGCAGACTCTCGAGATCTTCTATCTCTTTTTCTCTCTGCATCTTTGATTTGACGATGAGTTTTCGGTTTAGCAGGTTCGGCATCTAATTCTGGCGCTTCGTTATCTTCTTTTGGCACAAGAAGGTGTTGAAGGTATTCATTCGACGTGGTTGGCTGTTCAGTCTCCTCAGCAGTCGGGGAGTGTGGAAAAAGGTTCTGAGCAGTGGTGAGAAACGCGTTTAAGTCGAAGGCAGCTGGATCAGATGTGCTTGGCTGGTCATTTCTGGAATTTCTTTTTTTTAATAAGAAATATTCTAATTTTAGAAACACTAACGTTGGCACTGAAGTGATGAGATTTTTGAATTCTTCTTCGTCTTCTTTCTCTTCACTGTCTGTGCTCTCTCCACTGTCCGACTCTTCCTCTTGTTGTAACTTCTCAGCTTCAACTCCAGTGCCTTCGCTAACTATCGCATCCAGCAGCTTTTTCATATCACCGTCGTTATAGGCCATCTTGAATAATAATAATAATTTCAAAATTAGGCCGAGAGAGAGAGAGAGGATAATTCAAAGAGGGGAAACGTTGCCGGAAGCAGAGAAGAGGTCAGATGGAGAGGGACAGACATACATGCACACAGACAGACGAAGAAGCATCTGCGGAGTACAAACACAACATGCGCACAGACAGACGCAGAGTACGACAGCGACACAGACAGACGGGGGACGAGAGAGCATGTGAATAGAGGAGGGTGCCAGAAAGGTGTTTACTTATTGATTGTTTAGAAGAGCTGGAAATTCTGCTGATTTGGTAATAAAGAAGACGTTTATACAAGATTCTTGTTACATGAGATAATCAGTATTCTTTTTTTTGATGCTTTTTCTTTTGTTTTCCGGTATTTGTTTCCTTTTTAACTGATAAAGAACATGTTTTCAAGCATAAATATTGTGAAATCCGATACAATTTTTTAGTATATAATTCGTCATCAGAGCAACAGTTAGCAATTTTCCTTTCCATTTGAATTCGATTTTTTTTTCTTTTTTCGAATATTTAAAAAACTACAGTAACCTTGAAGGCGCAACGCTCGAAACTAAATTGGGTTTTGCAACGAAATATTATTGTTGCTGAAAAAATTTTTTTCGCTTTTTCAGGTTTTTATCGAATTTTTTGCTTTCATAGAAATTTTAAAAAAAACAATCGCAGTCATCCATTTTTTGAAATTTAAAAATTCAAAAAAAAACTACAGTAAACTTAAAGGCGCAACGTTCAATACTCAATTTGGTTTCGCAACGAAATGGTACTGTAGTTAAAAATTGAACTTTTTTGTTTTTTTAGGACTTTCATCATTTTTTTAGAGTAGAAAAAAGTGTTTTCATAGTAAAAATGTGGAAAACACCGGAAAAAATACCGTACTCAAAGGAACATTATTGATTGGGTCTTGAAACGATTTCTTGTTGTCCTCTCGTTTGCTCCTTTATCTTTTGTCTGAAAATTCGAAATTTCCCTAAAATTTCAGAATGGAAATCGACGAGGAATTATTCATGGAGGACAGCGACTCGGAGCCAGAATTTCTCGAAGATGAGGTAAGCGAACTATCAGAGTTTTCTTTTACAAAAATTGCTAAAGCTTCAGGTTATGAAATTCGAAGATTTGGAAGAAGAAATGAAAGTGGCGATTGCGGATCTTCAGGATGTTCTAGAAGTCAGCCCTGATATCTGTCGAGTTCTTCTTCAGAAGTTCAAATGGAACAAAGACGCTCTTCTGGACCGATTCTACGAGAGTTCTGATGCCGTTTCCTTCCTAATCGAAGCCCATGTTCTTCCAAGTCGATCAGTTTCCGAAAGCGAAGAGGAAGACTGTCAGATCTGTTGTATGGAAGGAAGACTCACTGGACCCGCTTGCAACCACAAGGCATGCAGTGAATGTTGGAAGGCTTATGTAACCGAGAAAATCAAGGAAGGACAGAGTGAAATCGAATGCATGACACCAAATTGCAAGCTGATAATCGAGGACTCACAAGTCGAACAGTTTATAGGTGACCCAATTGGAATCGCCTCTTATCGACGAGTTCTAGTCAACAGTTTTGTCAGAGTTAGCAAGACTATAAAATGGTGTCCAGGAGAAAATTGTCTGAAAGCTGTCAAAGTCCATCAACCATCTGAATCTCGCCTCATTGTCTGCCCATGCGGGACCCGTTTCTGTTTCACCTGCGGAAATGAGGGACATGAACCAATAGACTGTAATTATCTGAGAAAGTGGCTCAAGAGATGTATGGATGATAGTGAAACATTCAACTGGATCCACGCAAACACTAAAGATTGTCCAAAATGCTCTGCGCCGATTGAGAAGAATGGAGGATGCAATTATATGCGATGTGAGAACACTGCTTGTCGATATGAGTTCTGTTGGATGTGCTTTGGCTCATGGAAAAACGAAGGAGCCCATAGTTGCAATACGTAAGACTGAGAATTTTTTGAAGCAGTTATTCATTATTTTTTGCAGATTCCGAGAGAAAAATGAGGGAAAAACTGATCGGGAGAAATCTCGTGTCAGTCTTGAGAGATATCTTTTCTACTATAACCGATACATTGGACATGAGAGAAGTCTCAAATTGGAAAAGAAGGTAAGCTTCGCTTTAGATTCCGAAAACTCTTGAATTCTTCGTACCCCTTATGAAAACCTGTAAAAAAACCTTTGAAAAGTGGCAAAAACTGGCTGAAACTTTGTGGAAAACTGGAGAAAACTATAGGGACCAGATTGCCAAAATTCGTCTGAAATTCCAGCCTTGACAATATGTTCCTTATAGTTTTTTCCCCAGTTTCCTCAAAAGTTTCAGAGTATTCGCGGCGTTTTTTTTTTGCTATTTTTAAAGGTTTTTTTGCCAGTAACTTGAATAACTCTATAACAGGTACGGTACGCAAATGTACGCAATTCGAATGCACACAGCGTTTGCGTACTTTGCCTCCTACAGTAATCCTCGATTTAATCACTGTGTTTGTTCAACTAGCTATGCAAATCCCTTTATTGATAAAAGGGCGTGGCCGTAGCCAAATTGATGGCTGAGGATCAAACGTTTGATCCTCAGCCATTTCGTTGTCTGCGTCTCTTCACCAAAATATCGTCTCTTCACCGAAATGTTCTGTGTCTCTTCACCGAAACAAGATCTCTAGTTTTAGGGGAGAATTTTTTCATTTTTGAAAATTTGAAAAAGCTTCGCCCCGCCCCCTTATCAATAGAGCGAGCTTGCAAAGATAGAAAAAACCCTGTGTTTAATACACTCACATTCAAACAAAACTTTATTTCTTATATTTTCAGCTCAAAGAGAAAATCGCACGAAAAATGGAAGAAATGCAGCAGCTGTCGATGACCTGGGTTGAAGTTCAATTCCTGCAAAAAGCTGTCGAAGTACTCTCGGAATGTCGTCACACTCTGAAGTACACCTACGCCTTCGCATTCTATTTGAAACGAGAGAACAATGCGATAATGTTCGAAGCGAACCAAAATGATCTCGAACAGGCCACTGAGCAGCTCTCCGGGTTTTTGGAACGAGATCTGGATCGGGAGAATCTCATAACCCTGCGCCAGAAGGTCCAGGACAAATCTCGCTATGTGGAGCAACGCAGAAAAGCGCTCCTCGATCATTGTAACGAGGGAAACGATGAAAACATCTGGGTATTCAACGAGTAATAATATTGTTTCAACTTTCAAAAAGTTCTCACTGTCTGTATCAGATATCAATCTCAATAAAGACGATTCTAAATTCTATTCATTGTTTGGATAAGGATAAAAATCGATGATTCTGGGTTCTGGCAAATAAATAAATACACGAAATTTTACAAATAAGAAGATCTTTGAGTTCTACATTCCCTCGTATTTCGGTCCGCCGCCTCCTTCTGGTGTCACCCAGTTGATGTTCTGCTGGGGATCCTTGATGTCGCAGGTTTTGCAGTGAATGCAGTTTTGAGCGTTGATTTGGAGACGCTTCTTCGTTTCGTCGGCTTCAGAAGGGACGAATTCGTAGACTCCTGGAAAGAATCGATTGTTTTTTTGGTCAGGGATATTTGGAACGGAAATCGGAATTCCGAAATTTCAAAAATCCAAAATTTTTTCTGAATTTCGGAATCCTAAAATTGAAAAAAATCAAATCTTTTCGAAAAGTCCAAATCGGAATTTTCCGGGAATTCCGAAATTTTCAAAACGTAATTTTCCAAAATTCTGAAATTTAAAAAATCGAATATTTCCGAAATTTTCAACATCGGAATTTTCTAAAAATCCAAAATGTCAAGATTGATTTTCTTGCGTTTTTTCGCAAAAAAATTCTAGACCTTTTTAGGGTTTTCAGCTATTTTTCAAGATTCTTCTTCGATTTTTCCGGATTTTTTGTCTGAAGTTTCACAGGATGATGTTCGTGAAGATTACTGTAGGTTACTGTAGAAAGCTTATTTCCTTATGTCGTTTTTTTGTTGCAAGAAAGTTGTTGTGTGCATTTCGACGTGGTTGTATTTGCAAAGAAAGGCTTTTTAAAACTAGGTTTTCTACAGTAATCTACAGTAATCAGACACTGTTCCATCAGATTTCAGAAGTAAAAATTCGAAAAAATCGAAAAAGAATCTTCGAAAATGGTTGATAAACCTGAAAAGGTCTAAAAATTTTTGCAAATACCGCAAAATTTTCAGAGTTTTCAGTTTTGGTGGGAATCCAAAAACAGTTCCAGACCCTTCTAGAAGCTACCAGAAATGGACGAAAACTGAGATTTTTCGCTTTTCGAAGCGATTTTTCGCTATGAATCAACTTTTTTTCTACATAGTTTGATGTATTTTTTTAATGGACGGAATTTTCGCTATTCCAAAAATTCGGAACTCACCAGCTGGACAGAATCTAGCTTCTGGTCCTCCAAACACAGCCAAATTCACATCAACTGGCACTTGATCATTTTTCAGCGTCAAATGAGCTGGTTGATCTTCAGTATGATTGGTTCCAGTCAAGGAAACAGACGTGAGAAGATCGAAAGTCAATTTTCCATCTGGTTTTGGATAGTCAATCTCCTTGGCATCCTTAACAGAAATCAATTTCTCATTATCCTTCTTTCCGTGTCCAAGAGTCCATGGCTCCATTCCACGACCAAATACATAGAAGAGTCCAGAATAGATCAATCCTCCGATGTATCCAAGAGAAGTGTTGAATGATGGTCGAATGTTTCTAGTGGCTTTGAGCTCTTTCACAACATAAGTATCCCTCACATTCTTATCATAATTCGCAGGATCAATAGTTTGAACATCCTCTCCTTTCGCTTGAAGCTCTTCAAATATCGCTTCAGCTGCAACCATTCCACTCTTCATCGCACTATGAGTTCCCTTCAGTTTGGCGACGTTCAAGAATCCAGCAGAGCATCCGACAAGACATCCTCCAGGGAAGTGCAATTTCGGGATACTTTGGAAGCCTCCTTCATTCAGAGCACGTGCTCCATAACCGATTATTTTGCCTCCCTCTAGTTGTTTTGAAATCGATGGATGAGTTTTGTACTTTTGGAATTCTTTGTATGGATTCATGTTGGGATTGGCGTAGTCTAGGGCGACAACGAATCCAACAGAGACGAGCGGTTGTCCAGCGTCTTCGATGTGGTACAGGAAGGATCCTCCGTATTGATCAACGTTCTGAAAGAAAGACAAATAATCATGAATCTTGGATCCTAAACACCCTACCAATGGCCATCCCATAGTATGCTCCACATATCCTGGTCTATGCTTAGCTGGATCGATTTCCCACAACTCCTTCAACCCGATTCCATAGGTCATCGCATGAGATCGCAAATCAAATTTGTCCAAAACCTGCTTACTCAAATGCCCTCTACATCCTTCAGCGAAGATCGTACATTTTGCATGGAATTCCATTCCACGTGCGAATCCATCCTTCGGCGCTCCATCCTTCCCGATTCCAACGTCATTTGTAGCAATTCCCTTCACACTTCCATCCTCGTTGTAAAGAACTTCAGAGGCAGCGATTTCTGGCCAAACTTCGACTCCAGCAGCCTCTGCTTGCTCTCCAAGCCATTGAACCACTTTTCCAAGACGAACAATGTAATTACCATGGTTGGCTAGTGGCACTCCAGGGAACACTGGGACCGGGATACGTCCAGTTTCAGTTAGAATAGCGATAGATTCAGAAGAGACCTTCTGATGGACAGGAGCTCCGAGTTCCTTCCAATTTGGAATGAGCTCGTCGAGTGCACGCGTCTCAATTACAGCTCCGGACAGTGTGTGTCCTCCGATCACCGACGCTTTCTCGACGACACAGACTCGGAGTTCTGAATTTAAGAAAAAGTAAATATCTCACATTAAGTCGACCTAAATACCTTTCTGGGCCTTCTCCGCCAGCTGTCTCAACCGAATCGCAGCTGATAGACCAGATGGACCTCCTCCAACGATGACAACATCATAAACATCGCTTTCTCTCGACATATCCACATCTTTCCAGCGAGGATCAGTGGCACGATCCTTGATTGTGTAGTGAGTAGTCGTCCATTGTCCGTTGACGACGTTGCGAAGCTGTGAGGAGACGCGAAACAGTGTGACACCGCTTATCCGCATTCTGGAAAATTGGATTTCGAGATAATTCAAGTGATGAGAATGAATGAAGAATTGGTCGGCTGGCGAAACGTGGAGATATCAACAAAAAGGTCTGCAGACAACAACACAATGGGGAAGAGACAACATCGATTGGCAGCAGCCGAGAGAGAAAAAAAACAAGTCAACAACAACTCGAGCGGACGGAACATTCGTCCTGATACAAAATAAGATTTGGTCAATTTTGCAATTGAACAAAAAATTATTGTTAAAAAAAAAGAAAAATAGGTTGATTGTTGTGTGGTAAGCAGCAATCAACAGAAAAAATAAGTGTGTCTGTGTGTGTACGTGTTGAGTAAATGAGAGATAAGACGGGTAGACGTGAGAGGGGGCAAAGTACAACGAACACCGAGATGACCCATGAGGGAGAGGGCTACACACTAGACAGGGAAGAGAGGGCGAAGGGCAACCCATAAGTGAATTTTCAAGCTAAAAAATTCGGAAAAAGGAGTTTTTCGGCGAAAAAAAAGGAAAATTCGATTAATTACAGTACTCTCGAAAGACGCAAGCTTTCCAAATGTCTATTGGGCTTAGCCACGAAATACAGTAATCTCATAAATCCACAGAAAAAGGCGCAAGCTTATAATTTTGTATTGGGCTTCGCCACGAAAATAGACTTTCCAAGAAAAATGAACTGACTTTCGACTTGAAAGTTTTGAGAAAATATTGGCTGACAAAATATCTTTTGATCTGTTTTTTTTTGGGGAAGAAAATGCAGAAAAAACGTTCCTGACCGGAAAAAAACGAAAATATAAACAGAAAAAAAGGTTCTTCAAACAAATTTGAAAATTAATTTTTAAGAAAAATCCAATATTTAGATAGAATCAGCTTCAAAATGTTCTTCGATTCATCTAAATGAAGTTCTCTCTCCTATCGACAAACACCACTTGTTTGTCTTTTCTTTTGCCTTCAAAAATCGAAACATCAACGATCACTGACCACAAGTCAACTGTTGGAAGTTTGAAAATATATCTATGAACACATTACATCACAAATCTGGAAAAGGAAAAAGATATACTTTCATTTGAAAAAAAGAAAGAAACTGATTAGAATTATTCTGAAAACCGGATAAGAGGCGATCAACTAGAGATCAAAATTGTATGGATAATAGAAAGAGACAAAGACGAGTATTGGATCGATTCTAAATACAAATGCAATAAAAATACATATTTCAAAAAATTATTCCGATTGCGGCTCTTCAGCCTGCTCGATTCCCTCCTGGGCTGCTGGATTTTTGCGATTCCACCAGTTTGTGAATTTCGCCTTCACTCGACTGCCAGTCTCTCCAATGCTTGTTCCTAAATTCTTTCCAGCAGTGTTTACAGTTCCAATCACTTTGGACGCTCCTTCAACACCATTCACAGCATGCTCGAATCGTAAATATACATCATAAACGCCCATTTGTTCCGAGAACATGTGCCCTGGAGGCACAGATGCCAAGTCCTCATGCTTATTTGCCACCCAAATCTTGTGATTCTTCGTTCGTCTCCACTCATTCACAAAGGCAACTCCAAAATGAGGAACTGCGGCTTGTAGGTCCGATCGTGAAGTGGCGACGAGTCCAAGAAGGTAGTTCTTCATTTGCAGCCGAATCCATTCATCACTTCCGTCGAATTCTGAAGTTGACGTTTTCATCTGTTCTTCCACTTTTTTCAGAACGAAGTCAGCAAAACGGAGGTCGGCAGAAGTCAAAGCGAGGACTCTTTCTAACGCAGAGTCATTGACGAATTCAATGTGATTGTGGACTAGGGAACCGTCGTCTTCGATCGGAAATGAGTCAGAATTTAAAAAAATGATTATATGAACCTATTTACCTTCACAATCACATCGAACAAATCCTTTTTCACAGCAAAAAGTGCATTTGTGGCGCCAACAATACAACTCTGAGTCTTCGAGATATAATCCATCGACTGAATAGAAAGATACGGATCAAAAGAGCATCCTTGGGTGAAAAGGCTTAATGGGAATCCACACGAATCCTTCTCCTTCAATGGATCATATCGTGTTAGTTGTACCCCGACATCTTCCTCTATCACTATATCCGAACTCTTTTTTTCTTGATTCACAGCTTTGGTTTTGTCATTCGTGTTCACACCGATTGTCGCATAGTAGAGCCCTTCTTCTAGTAGTTCTGAAATTCCCAAAATTATCGATTTGACCCTAATAATTTTCACCAACTTGGAAACATCGAAACAATTGCCAACATAGTTTCTCCTAGTCGAAGGCCAGTTGGCGCGATGAACAACACTTTTCTTTCCAGAAGAAACAGTTTGAAAAGGAGGAGAGCTCGATGGCGGAATCTTACGAACAGCTCTTGAATCGATATTTCTGAAACTATCGAAATCTTAGCTATCAGTACCACTCATTAACAAGCTAACCATGATGAGCCAAATTAGAAAAGTATTCTCCAGTCAGATTCTCATCAAATATATCACAGAGATTCGTGTACATCTGAGCTAGAACATCCACTTTTGAAAAGTCTTTCTGCTCGAAATACGCTTGAGTTATCACTTCCAGCTTGGCTTTTAATGGACCGAAAAGTGGTATTCTTGAGAGAACACAGACTGCTTTTTGGACACTTGCTCTCGTCACATCGTCGGATTTGTTCAGCAATTCCTTTGAATCGATTTGTCGATAACACGAAATTCCGAATACACACTTTCTGGGTTCCTCTTTTGAGGGCAGCAGGAAGAATATTGTGTCTTTTTGGCAATTATGGACTCCATCTGGTAATGCTAGCGACGGGAGAAGGTGCCATTCGTCTGGGAGTCCTGCTTCACCGGAACCATCTAGTTTTGGGTGCGAATATTCAACCTGAGAGTGACAAAAATGAAAATTTCAACTATTTCGGCTGATGAACTATGTTTTTGATGCATGGATCACTTATTCTTTAACAATTTTCAAAGTTTTTTCGATCTATTTAAATCAGAAGCAAATGATGAAAATCATTGAAAAAACTATGAAAATCATCGAAAAGTTAATGGGGTTATTCATTAGTATTTCTTTGCATTTTTTTGCATTTTTTTACTAATGAATAACCCCATAAGAAATATGATCAAAAGTACTGTATTAAAGGCGCATGCGTCCTCGGACATCGACACGACTTAGTTTTGAATACGCTTGCAACATGCGCCTTTAATACAGTACCCAGTGCTTCAAATTTTAGATTTTCCATCGATTGTTCATTGTTTTCTTGATTCTTTGACGATTTTCACCGTTTTTTGATAAAAAATTATGAAAATTGTTGAAAAAACTATGAGAATCGTCGAAAAACTGAAAAAATAGGACTTAAAGATACTGTATTAGAGGCGCATGTTTTCTTAAGTGTCTTCTGGTTTCGACACGAAGTAGTTTTTCTTGCTTTCTGAATTCCAAAAAACTGTTTATTACCTCACACCCCCGTTTGTGATGAAAACTGACGACGACAACGTTCAGAATAGGATGCATATTCACTGGAAAACTCTCTAAATTTCTAAATTTTCACACTTCTTCTTTTCTCCAGATACGGATTCTTGGATACACCTGTCATTGAGAATACGGAAAATGGGGATTAATACGCTTTATGATAGGTTTCAGATGTTGAAAATTTCAGACAAAATGGTGAAAGATTTGTACTCTGATCATGGTTTTGCAATTGAATATATAATAGGAGGAATTTTACAGAAACTTTTTGAAAGTTTTTCAAAGTGGGGAGACAAAGTTATGAGATGATTGTTTTTTCAAGAGAAACACGAGAGAGGATGAGATGTAGGCGTTTTTATGAAACAAAACACAAATTATGTATTCAAAAGCCATGGGTTGTTGGCAAGAGTCTCTGCCGATCGATCTCCGTAGTCGTACAGAAGTTCTTCTCCTACTTCGATTTCTCGGAGAGCGACGAAGATAAGATGATGACGTCCATCAATCTCAACCACTTTGGTCTTGAGATTGGGTCGGAGGACCGAGTGATTGATCAATCTTCCTTTGAATGGAGACTCGGCCGTTGCGTCGATGCACCACTTCTTGTTTTTATGCTCGAAGAAGTACATATAAGATCCGACTTCTTCATGGGAATAGGCTTCTTCGACAGTTTTCGCTTCGGAATATTCCATCATGTTACCTGAAAAACTATTGAAAATGATTATAACGAAATACCTAAATAATTTGTTACCTATATACTCCAAAACGAAATCCCCTTTGCTGAAATTCACTGTCGTTTTGATGCCTCTCCCCTTGACAGCATCCAGATAGATTTCGAGAATCGCCTCGTTGGATTTGTTAAGAACCAAGTCTCGGAGATTCTCATGCGCCTCCATTTTGATCTGTTTCCCAGTCTTCCGTGTGCTTCGTCGTACGTGGAAGAATTCAGTGATTTTGTGGCTTGCAACGACTGGTTTCTTGGCTCTTGAGCTCTTTTTCGGTGGTGGAGTATTGTGGGTGGCATTTTCGACATCGCTCGATGATGGAGATGGTGCAGCGACGGCACGGCTCTTTTTACCCGTAGCTGGCTTCTTCGCGGTGGCGACTTTCATTCTTTTTTGTTGTTTTTTGGTCCAACCGCTGGAAAAAATAATTAAATATAAGAAGGGGTTAATCTAAAGAAGTTAGAAGAACTGAAAAAAAATCAATAAGACAAGATTTCATAAAGGTAAGCATAATGGTTTAGGGATTTTTCGGTTAAATATGGGGCTGGAGCCAATCGCCAAACTGTGCACATAAGCCAATATATTTGAATGGTGCACGTTTTCGCGGGAGGTACAGTGGAGCGTTATTGCTAGGGTGCAATTGGTGGACCGGGTGGTCGACAGTGGACACTGAAGATCTGTGAGTGAGGGGGAATCCGAAGGATACGGTGCTAGGGATAATTTCGACTAATTAGAGACAATTCACCAAAAACTGTTGTCTACAAGAAGACCAATGAGCCAGGAAGTAAACAAAAATGTTGAGTTGGAACATCAAAAATCCGAATCTATGAACGTTCAATCTGAAATTTCACTCTAAAAATAAAAAAAATCCTCTAAATTTGCCCACAACCTTCAAAAATTAGAAAATTATTTTTAAAAAGACATTTCAATCAACAAAAGTGAACACATTGCAGTCCTATGGCGGAAGCAATAGAGTCGCAGAGACACAAAGGCGGTGTTGGAAACGCCAGTCACCCCTAAGGCGCCTTTTCTGCTGCGCAAGAGAGGGAGAGAATTTCGATTATTATGATTTGCACGTTCTGTTTGTTTATTCAGAGAGAACTCTGTAGAAAATAGGCTATCAGTTGAAATTTTATTGAAAAAAAAACTATTTTTAAGCACAATCAGTACTATAATTTGAAAGATTCTCGCATAAAATACCAGTTTTGATGGAGGTATTTATAGAAAAAATAGAAAATCAATACTTTTAGTCTACAGTAGTAATTTATCGGTTACAGTTTCAACACAAATCGTAGTTGTGCGCCTTTAAAGTTGTACCGCGGGATTTTTTTCTTCTATCGATTATTACGCTCCGGAATGCCTTCTTGCCTCATTTTTCGCCCTTTTTAAAGAATACAACTTTACAAAAATTAGAAATTCAGATGCCGCCAAAACGAAAATCAGGAAAAGGCACGCCGAGCAAGCGAGGGACGAAAAAAACGAAGAGAGACTCAAGTCCAGAGAATGATTCGGGTGGCGACGAAAAAGAATTCGACAAGGATACACTTCAAAGAAATGTGAAGTTCGATTTTGAAGAATTAATGAACGATCCCACTTTCCAACATCCTGAATTCATCCATACAATGGAGCCAGAAGAGTTGACTATCGAGTGGTATGAGGAGAATGGTCTTGAGAAGCCAATCCACTTCAGATGCGATCCAACGAGGATAGGAATGAAGTTACCATCTCCTTCCACGTTTACGGTGGATAGTGTGCTAGAGTTAGTCGGTGGAAATCGTATGATCGAAGTGGTACAAGTGGAGGATCAGGGCAGTGTAAAAATGACTCTTGAAGAGTTTGTAGAGTTTTATAAGTGAGTTTTCTGCATTTATTTATTCTTTATCTTGAATTTGTGAATTTCAGAACCCCACGGGATCAGAGGAAGAATCTCTACAATGTGCTCTCCTTGGAATATTCCCTCACTCCACTGGAAGACCTGGTCAACTCTCCTGCACTAGTCCGACAGATAGACTGGGTTGGAAACATCTGGCCTGATGCACTTCGTCAAAGATGGATCTCATTTAACGGTCGTGAGAAGAAGTCCTATTTCCCTCATCACACATTTCCAAAAGTTCAAAACTACTGCCTGATGAGTGTGGCGAATTGCTACACAGACTTTCACATCGATTTTAGTGGAACATCGGTGTGGTACCATGTGTTAAAGGGACGCAAAGTCTTCTGGCTGATTCCACCAACGGCGACAAATTTCTTTATCTATCAGGAATTCATCAAAACTGTCAGCGACAACGCCTTCTTCGGAAGATCCGTAGAAGCGTGCCACGTGGCAGTTCTAGAACCAGGAGACACTATGCTGATTCCGAGTGGCTGGATCCACGCAGTATATACTCCAGATGACAGTTTGGTATTCGGAGGCAACTTTTTGCATTCGCTTTCGTGTCAAACGCAATTGCGGGTTTATCAAGTAGAGAACAAATTGAATGTAAGTCAAATGTTCTAGCATCAAGAGTGTATTCTGCTAACTTTCCAGATTACTCGAAAATTCCGTCTCCCTTACAACGAGGAACTGTTGTTCTATGTGATGGCTGACTATGTCAAAAAGTGGACAGGCCGAGAATACGTGCGACCGCTTCTAGTCGAGGATGCCAAGCTGGATTACGTCGGTGAGAAATGGAAGGCCGCTGGCGGCCACTTGAAAAAGATCAGGTTCGAAGACTATAACGTCGAGGTTACTTCTGAAATGGTCAAGAACGAGGAGGAGAGCGAGAAAGACGGTATGTGAAATGGTTTGCTTCTGATGTTAAAGCCTAAGTTAGCTCCAGAAGTCAAAGTGATCGCAATGCACGCTGGAAGCTCCAACTATGACAATGCGATGATTAGCAAGATGAGCTACACAGAAGCTACGGGTCTAGAAGAGGAAGCAGAGGATGAGGATGTGAAGCCAGAAACTAAAAGTTAGCCTCAGAAGCATTGAAAAGCTTAGAAATCCTATTAGTTTCAGAAGAAGCCGAAGAGCGTAGAGATGCAGAAATCGACTTGTTGGCTGCGACGAATTCGTTAATTTTCTATAGGAATTCGGTAATTTTTGAAATCAACTCACTGCCATTATCTACTCGAATTTCAGAAACACGACTTCATCCGCAACAAGTCCGTACCGGATCACAAGCTTCCCATCGGCCACGAGCCTCCAGTCTATTTCAACGACGAAGAAGTGTCCCGCATCTCACCACGTCTTCTAGAAGAACTCGAAGCCCTCGGCGCCTACATCCGTCGTAAGAACCGTGTGGAAGTGGCCGAGGGAATTTGCCATCCCGCATCACTGATCAATCTATTCAATACGGTTTTGAAGAAGCGACGAGCCGAATTGGTAAGTAATAAGATGGTATAAAAAGTCGATAGTGAGAAGTGAGAACCTGTCTGCGTTTCTTTTCTCTCTCCTTCCCCCTCGTCCCTCTCATCTATCTCTTTTTGTTGTTGGTTGGTGTGCTGCGTCGACCTCCAATGTGTCGAGAATGGGCATTTTTTTGATTTCTGTCTTTACTGAAAAGTTGTCAGAACTTTTCCTCTAATAATTTCTCATACGGGTGATACTAAATTTCCCACAGTGTTTGAAAATGCGCTCTAATGAAAAAGGGGGCGTGTCACAGTTTTTAGGCCAATGAAAAAACAATGAATTTCCCGCTGATACACCATTTCTCATCAGAGCGCATCCGCAAACCACAGCAGTTTGAACCATGTGTTTCCTATAATAATTTATCAGCCGAAATTCCTTTCTAATCTAGCATTTCTCTTCTGTTTCAGCCTGTTCCAAACTAGAGCAACACCCATCACCTCACCTCGACACACACTACAATCTACAAGTCTCTCTCTTTCACGCATCTCTATGCTAAGATATCTCACTATATGGCGACTAACTTATATCTCCTTATTATTGTTTCTAAATGATTTCGTGTAACTATTCTCTTCGTGTGTAATTGCTTGTCAAATAAATTGCTTCCTGTGTTCCCCTAAAATTTCTATTTGAGCCAAAACCTTCTCACTATCGTTATCTTTTTTACGACTTTAACCGCCTAAATTACCTCTTTTACAGACTGGAAAACCATTTCAATTCAACCAAATCATGCCTCGAAGATATGTAAGTTTTCCCTCAGTTTTCCTGAAATCAGGTTCCCGAAATCCTATATTTTCAGACTCGAGCTGCCATCGAGACCGGCGACTATGACTTCGAACCGGTCCGCACGATAGAGGATTCTAGAAGAGCGTCGCAGTTCAAAGTGGAAGACTTCCCGGATGAGCTTCTGGAGTCTGATGAACCGGACGAAACTTCTAGAATCCATCTTCCACATCAACCATCATCGGGACCACTGGAGTACATTCCAACGCCAAGAGGAGAAATAAGAGAGAATTCGCTGGGTTTTGAGCCAGAATACGACGAGGATATGGAGGAGTACGATCCAGCTGAGCAGGTAGTGAAGGAGGAGCTGGAGGAGGAAGAAGAAGAGGAGGAAGGGGAAGAGGAAGAAGAGGAAGAGTATGTTGCTCCAGTCACCAGACGCTCCAGCACCAGAGGATCGGCTAGCACGAAAGAGGAGCCACAAGAGGAGAAAGAAGAAAAAGAGGCTGCTCCGAAGAAGGAGAAGAAAGAGAAGAAGGTGAAGAAGGAGAAGAGTTCAAAGCCGGAGAAGGACACCACGGAAGCAAAACTGAAGAAGGAGAAGAAGAAGAAGGAAATGGAACGGCGTCTTCGAGATAGTGAACTCGAGGCTGAGCTCCGAGCTGCGCACGGTGGAAAGAATGCGAAATCGAAGAAGAAACCTGAGAAGCCAGCTTACGTTGGTGGTCTTCCGACTGCTCCGATTCAAAACGATCCGGTGGTTTCCAATCCATACAACTATGATCCGAGAATGGAGATGATGAAGTTGGGTACAGGACAACTCAAGTCGGCTTATAGAAAGACCAAAGCGGTGGGACATTAAAAAATAATTATTTTCATGAACTTTTTCGAATTTCAGAACGTCGAATTGCACATCGAGAAGAATCTCTACAAGCTCGAGCCAAAGCGCGATGAAAGTGAAAGCCGAGAGCCTAGTATGGAGCATGAAGACTCTCCGACTACTCCACACGCTCCTTACGATAGATATAGTCACTATCATACTGAGAATTCTCATTTCCAAGAAGATCAAGACTCTCATCGGACACCAGCGAAACGGTCCAAGTGTAAGGGAGATTCTGAAAAAAAATCAATGAATTCTGCTATTTTCCAGATGACAACATCAGCGTGGACACTTCAGAAAGTCCACATATACCGAAGAAACGAAGTCTGGAAGGTCGTCCAAGTCCATACAGTGTCATATCACCTCCGCACAACAGACCAAAACTTTCTTCTCCAGCAATGTTCTCTCCAAGTTCCGAACCTCGTAGATCTAACGACCGTCGTACCAGTGATCCAGCTGTGAATGCTATGAAAAAGGGTGTCTACATGCCTCCGATGTCTCGCCAGGATAAGATGATTGCTGAAGCAGCGTCCGCCTCATCCTCTCGTCATTCTTCATTCTCTGAACGTCGCCCAAGCTTCATACCGGATTTAAACTCCTCCAGACACTCTTCGACCGATACTCCAATGTACACTCCAACTGCTCCGGCTAGAGTTAGTTCTCCTAAGATCCTATCAAAATATTGAACTTTTAATTACAGTCCTCGTGGCTCCCGAACACATCCAACGTCACTCGACACTCTCTGGATGATGATTCTCCGATCGACGTCGTCAGCGAGTCTCCAATAGACGTTCTCAACTCGCCACCATTCCCAAGATCCATCACTCCACCGCCAGTTTCATTGAGTGAGCTCAAATCTCAATCTAACGGCAGAAAGAGCAACTACTCGGAGGATGGGTGAGTTTGTTATTGCTACAAAAGATGTCTTAATTCCTTCAAGTTCCAGAAAGAGAGCCAAGATCCCAGCGAGAGAAGCTGTGGCCGAGTTGAAGACGCTCATCGGGAAGCTCAAGACTCTTAACGAGGCATAGGAGCTCAACTTGTTACTACCTACACTACCTCCTTTTCGTATTCTCAGGCACAATTTCATTTACTGTTGCATCATTCCCTTCTTGTTCCTTTTACTTTATTCCCCATAATGATCTGATATGTGTTTCTGTTGACCCCAAAAAAGGGCCCAAAAAACAAATCACAATTCTGTATCTCGTTTATTGTTCTAATACAAATATGTCTTTTTGTGTCCCCCATCACCAAAGTTTATAGTTCGTTTAGCATGAAATCTCCCATATAAGCTTTATACTTGCCCTGTTTTGATGAATATGATAAATGAACTTTTGTTAGCTAATAAAAAGGTTAGACGAAATGGCATTCAGTCCGCATTAATTTATTTAAACTAACGTTATCCCGGAATTTTTAAAGCCTCAAAAATTGGTAGCAGAAATCTCGGTTTCCCATATGAAAAGTGCGAAAAATTAATAAAAACTTTCGAAAAACTTTTTAAAAAAAGTACCGTAAAGCCTATATTAGAAGGGCCGGGCCTTCTATTTTTCATGTGGGTCCCTAGGGGGGCACTTCAATTAGAGGGGGCACTTGGATTTTGTCGTGGGTCCTCTGAGAACGGATCTTCTGTTGAAGGGGCATAAATTTTTCAGTGATAAAAAGTTCTACTAAAAATCCATTACAATTTCTATATAAAAAAAGCAAAAACACCAATATTGTCGAATTTAAAAAAAAAGCTGGCACTTCAAAATTTCGCGGGCGCCGTTCGTGTCGATTTATCAGATTTGTCGTCCTTGAATCCGCCATTGTCTTAAACAAAATTAACTTCTTTGAATTTAGTGGGATTTTCTGATTAAAATTCAGACTTTTTGATAACATTTTGATCGCTAGAATGTCTAGAATGTTTCAAATCAAAAACGCCATTCTTGATTGCGAAAATTGCTCAAACGAGAGAAACATCTGTATTAGAGCCACGGCATTCAAATTCTCAGGTGCCAGTATTTTTTAAAATCATACAGTAATTCAATCAAAAGAACAGAAAAACGACTGAATATCAAAGGAGGTAGTCAAAGGGGCACTTCAATTAGAGGGGGTACTACAAATAGAGGGGCCCTTCAAATAGAGGGAGCACTTCTATTTTTCGTGAGGTCTCTAGGGGGGCACTTCAATTAGAAGGGCCCTTCTAATACAGGTTTTACGGTAATTTCTCTCGAAACCCGCAAGAAAACTTTTTGCCTGCGCCTTTGAAGTACCGTAATCAAAATGAGCTCTAATTTCGAACAATGACTGGAATTCCGTCCGGAAAATCCCTGTATTTATAAAATCTCAAAGAAAAAATGATGAAAAAAATTGATACAGAATGGTAACAAAAGAAGAAGACGATGAAATCAGAAGCGAAGCAGCCGTCGTCGTTCTCGGCGACGTTGGCAGAAGTCCCCGGATGTGTAACCATGCAAAAATGCTGGCTGACGGCGGATTCGATGTGAAAATCATTGGTTTTTACGATTCGATACCCGGAGAACAAATTACAAATCATCCGAGGATCAAGTAATTCAAAAAAGACATCCATTTGCAAAAAGTGAAAATTCTTCTAGAATCGTCGGAATTCCCGCACCCCCAGATTTCATGGATTCGTTGCCTGCGATAGTTCAGCTGCCTCTGAAATTGATTTGGAATTTTGTTACGCTGCTTTTGGCGATGGCTTTCAGAACGAGTGCATTCAATCTTCGTGTGATTCTAATGCAGAATCCGCCGGGATTACCGACGGCGATAGTTTGTTTCTTGATCTCGCTAATCAAGTGCTCCAAGTTCACAATCGATTGGCACAATTATATGTACTCGATTCTCCAGAATAAGTACAATATAGCCGATGGAGATACATCGCCGAAGGGAAAGTGAGTAATCTTGTTTAAGTGGGCGGAGCTTGATTCCGGTGGGTAAAATCTTTAGAGGAGCAATCATGAAAAATCGAACGAAATAATTTTTCACAGAAATCCAAAAACGCTCAAAGAACAATGAAAATTGTCGGAGAGCCGAAAAAATAGGTTAAAAAATAATTACGAAAAACACATGATCCTTTGAGGACGTGAGCTCCGCCCACTCTCAAATCCCAGAAAAAATACAAAAGATTAGTGGCCTAGAAAGCTCAACTCAGCGACCATGCTGAAATTCCCTTTAAAAGTGACATTTTCTAGGCCACCAATTTTATGGTCTAAAAATGATCTAACATTCACAAAGTACGTTTAAGGCTATTTACTATGGTGGGCTAGATAACTAAAATTTTTGAAATTAGGTCATCTTGCTAAAAAAAAACCCATCAAGCCAATTCTAGGCCATTCTAAATGGTGGCCTAACTTTCACAAGTTCAGTTTTCTAGGCCACTATGAGGAATGACTTAGAAAACCCAGCAGGTTTTATTCAGGTCAATCTAGGCCATAATATTTGGTGGCCTAGAAAACTCAACTTGCGAAAGCTAGGCCACCATGTGAAAATGAGATCTTTCAGAATTGTGAAAGGTGTCTCAATTCTCGAGGGGATCTGCGGCAAATTATCCGACTACAACCTCTGCGTCACTGATGCGATGCGACGGGATTTAATGAAACGATGGGGAGTGAGAGCGAACACATTTTACGATCGACCGCCGACGTGGAAATTTAGGTTAAAAGAATAAACTGGAAGTGTCCTGAATAGACAAATTTACAGACCCACAAGTCTTCTGGAAATCCACGACTTGTACTCAAAGCTAGGGGAAGTTCCGAAGGCAAACGAGACAATTCTCACACGAAAGTCGATTGATGGATCTCTAACTCTTCTCCCTGATCGCCCCCTTGTCCTTCTATCTTCCACGTCATGGACTCCAGATGAACGCTTTGAAATTCTGCTCGACGCCCTTGTAGACTACGAGGAGGCCGCAAAAAACGATAAGGAGCTCCCGAAGATTCTGCTGATTATCACTGGAAAAGGGCCGCTGAAAGCAAAATATCTGGAAAACATTCAGAAGAAAGACCTGAAAAATGTGAAGATTCTGACGCCATGGTTAGAAGCCGATGATTATCCGAAGATTCTCGCATCCGCGGATTTAGGAATTTCTCTACACACGAGCACTTCTGGATTGGATCTTCCTATGAAAGTTGTCGATATGTTTGGAGCGAAAATTCCAGCGTTGGCTCTCAAATTCAAGTGTATTGATGAACTGGTCGGGGACCGAGTCAATGGTTATCTCTTCGAGGATTCCAACCAGCTGAGTCGTCAAATTGTGGAACTCTCGCGAGGATTTCCCAACAGATGTGAAGATTTGATCCGTCTCAAGAGGAATACACGAGAGATGAAGTTCGAATCATGGGAAACGATGTGGAAACGATCGGCGGCTCCGGCGGCGAACCTTACACCACCGGATAATGGATTTGCGAAGTTGAGAGCCATCATTCAGCTGTCTTTCCTTGTGATAATGATATTGATTCCAATTCATTTGGCGATGGGAACATTTTCGGGGCTTTTTTCTCCTAAACCTTAATTTAACTATGTGATATATTTAATAAATTCGGGGGTTTTTTAATTCAAAGTGAAATTCAAAGTGGAGAAAATTTAAAAACACGTATAGTGAGAATCGGAATGAGATGATGTTACAAGAATCTTCTTAAGGAGTAAGGGGGTAATGTTCAGATCATCGAATCATCAGCAGGTGTATCTTCGACGATGTCATCCTCTTCGACGACTTCATCTTCCATTTCGACTTCAGCAGTCTGCTGCTGATCGGCCATCTTTCTTTGAAGCAGTTTTTGTTGGCGAAGCACTTTCCAATTGTCGTTGATTTGCTTGCACTGTAAAATAAGAATATGGTACAGCAGATGTCTGAATTCTTACATGATTGTAAATGGAATTATGTTCGAGATCTCGGAGCCCCTTCAGCACATGCTCAGCAGACAACGTCTTCTGTTTCACTTCGCGAGCAGCTTGCACTGCGACGTCTGACAAGTTTATAAGAAAAACTGCTGCAGCGCGAGTGATGAGATCGCGAGCTTCTTTTGATCCAGAAATATTTTCTTCTTTCATGAGACGAGTGACGATGGCAGCTGGGAGGAGCATCCCAGCAACCCGCTCATCTACTTCCTCCATTGCGGCTCTGGACATCTGGAGACGTTACTATCTGTTTGCATGTCTTTAGTCAAATATATTTTCGACTTTTGGTACGATATCGCACATATTGCAAACAGTTTTAAAGCTATCCTTTTATTTTTAACTTATGCACAAAGACACTTTTTGAAGAAAGAGAAAAGAATATCATGAGTTATCTCAAGGGCAATGTAAGAAGAAGAAGGGTTTTTGTTGATTGATTTGAAAGGTTTGGAGAGAAAGTTTTGTGCTAAATAAATAGAATGCAAAAGGAAGGGGTTTTTGATTGGGTTTTTAACAGGAGAGCATATTGAGAACCGCGTGCCACCTACATGATAGGTACACGCTGTGGATCAAGTCACAATATAAAGATCATTGAATGTGTGGGGGTTACAGGGAACAAGCATTTATCCGGACTTGAAGAGCAGAATAGCGACCTGTCCGAGATAGAAGTAGATGAAGTGTTTCGTCTCGTGAGTCACGTAGCTTCCGAAGTTTCTTCCGACGATGCAGTGCCAGGTTGGGTTGTACTTCTTGTCGAACTCCTTCTTGATGTAAGCAGCGATATCCTTCTCGATGTTGTACCTTTGAGAGAAAATAATTTATTTTTTGATTTGCAAGAGATTTAGTTTGTGCGAGATCAGCTGGCTACTCGCCCACCTCTCCTCGACTCAAAACACCACCCAGCTGTTGCCGTCCAGTTTAGTTTAAATCGAGACGATGAGCCGTTCGCTTCTCTCACTCAGCCCCCCTTCGCCAACATTTCTTTACACTTTTGCTCTAAACGACCAAGTGTTTCCATGGCTATCGAATTATTCAAGCGTTTAAAATGCGATCGCTGTCCTCAGAGTGCCCGTAACTCACTTCTCGAGAGCCTGGGTGGCGCAGTCGATGGCGTCCTGTTGCATGTCATCGGACATGTCGGCGTTCTTGATCACAGCCTTGCGGTCAACCATTTTCGACGGATTTGGCTGTAAAACAATAAGGTTCACAACCGAAAAACACACACCCAACTATTATAATAACGATACGAAGGTCATAAAGAAGGAGAGATAAGGGGAGGCAGAAGAAAGGCGATGCAATTACTCAATAGTTTACGAGGCAGAGTGTCCTAGATTCTACAAAACACACTAATAAAGCAAATCAGTTTCAAGTAGATACACCTATGCACGTATAAGGAAGCCCTTCGAAACTTTACAATATAATCAACAACGCGCGGAGCACTTCACTTCAAAACTGATCTTTGCGTGTTGAGATCTATATTTGCGCTACATGAAAAAAGCTTGACGTGCTGCTATAGGATAAGAATGCATTGACTGAAACGAGAAAGGGAACTACAAAAAGCGTTATGCGTCACCTAAAAACTTTCATGTCAACATTCGGCTTCTGTTTCGATAAAAGTACACACTGCAGGCAGGGGAAAATGATTGGAAGCGCCTATCAAACAGAAGAAGAGCAACATTAGCAAGAGAGAAAAGATATTGAGGGAGAGGTGGGAGCTCCAAAAGATAACAGTTTCGAAGAGTCGAAAGAGTGGGAGAAACGGAAAACGGCGGTGGCAAAATGGAAGAGAATGCGAGTGAGCGGTGAGGGAGCGACGATAGGCGGGGCGGGTCGCACACTCGACAGCCGGGTCGCATGCGACCCGGCTGTCGGCGAATGTGACCTGGCTGTCCGGCGGTGTAGTTGCGCAAACTCGAATGCAAACAGGCGCGTGCCCGCGGATTTCAAAATGTTTTGGGGTAGTTGGGCGCGAGAAGAGTGGGAGAAGAAAAGAAAACGAGTGAAGGACGTTAGAAGAAACTGCCTAGTTGTTGTGCGAGACAGGGACATGCATGAGTTTATGGGCTCCGAGTGCTTACAATAGCGCGAGTCGCCAAATATAAACGTCGGGCATAGTGAACATATGAAAATAATGGATGCATAGAAGAAGCTGCTTCATCTACACTTTGAAACATCTGTCGGAACGAATAGCTGGGAAAACTGATGCTTCGGTTAGAAATATGAATTGCTCTTCAAAATTGAAGTGATTATGATAAAAGCAGAAAAACAAAAACTTCGAAATGAAAAAAGATTGAGGTCACAATTCACAACACCAACGAAAAACAAAATAGGGAAGCAAAGCATTTTGTTCTAGAAAGCGGGTTTCGCAACGCCTGTTGTGCGTTACTGTAGACGGGCGTTTTTCCATATATTTCGCCGTTTTCTCACAGACGATTTTCTTTTGAAATATCCATTTTTTGAAAAAAAACGAGATTCGGGTCGAAATACATTTAAAAAAACGGCTGAAAACGAAATGGGAAAAGCCAAGAATTCCATTCCAAAATTATCATTATCTACCGCAAATCCTAGGCGCAGGCCGTGTTTTTGTGCAGCGGGTCTCGCAACGCCTGTCGTGTATTACTGTAGAAAGTCATTTTTCCATGTTTTTCGTTGGCTCTAAAAAATTTCCTCCTGAAATCGCTATTTTCTAGAGATGCTTTCCCGCTCCTTGCATCCACTTCGAGCAGTAGCATGTTGTAGGACTGCTCTTTCAAAGCGGGACTCTCACACAATCTGGTATCCCGATGCAAAGTTCGAAAGGCAATTCAAGGTTAACACTTAAAAATTCTTGTTGATTTCTGACGATTTTTCCTATTTCAGACAGGCGGAACGCTTGGAAAGCTTTGGATGTCAGAGCGAGTATCCGATTTCGACGAACAAATCGGACTTGACAAGTTGGAGAAGCTCGCTTATAGCGATCCAGTGCTCAGCGACAATTATGAGGGAAAGAAAAGGTTTTTTGTTTTTTCTCTGTTTCCGTGATTTTCAAGTAATTTTTTCAGAGAAAAAAACCTGGAAAACATGATTCTCAATTTCGGTCCACAGCATCCGGCAGCTCACGGTGTGCTTCGACTGGTGCTCAAACTCGAAGGAGAAGTCATTATTAAAGCCATCCCTCACATCGGTCTTCTTCATCGTGCTACTGAAAAACTCATTGAGCACAAAACATATACACAGGTAGACAGCCCTCGTAAAAAGTGTAGTTTTCTCTTTTAGGCTCTCCCTTACTTCGATCGCCTTGACTACGTTTCGATGATGTGCAACGAGCAAGCATTCGCGTTGGCAATCGAGAAACTTCTTGGAATTGACATCCCACCGCGAGCAAAGTACATTCGAACTCTATTCGGAGAGCTCACAAGGATCCAAAACCATATTATGGGTATCACAACCCATGCTCTCGATATTGGAGCAATGACACCCTTCTTCTGGATGTTTGAGGAGCGTGAGAAGCTTTTCGAGTTTTCTGAGCGAGTCTCTGGAGCCAGAATGCACGCTAACTATGTTCGCCCGGGTGGTGTTGCATGGGATTTGCCTATTGGACTCATGGATGATATTTACGATTGGGCAACGAAATTCCCAGCTAGAATCGATGAGTTGGAAGATATGCTAACAGAGAATCGTATTTGGAAAGCCAGAACTGTCGACATCGGTTTGGTATCTGCTGCGGATGCGTTGAACTGGGGATTCAGTGGTGTCATGGTTCGTGGAAGTGGAATCAAGCAAGACGTTCGAAAGACACAACCATACGATGCCTATGCTGATATGGAATTCGATGTCCCAATTGGAACTAAAGGAGATTGCTATGATCGTTATTTATGCCGTGTTGAGGAGATGCGTCAATCGTTGAATATCATCATCCAGTGCCTAAATAAAATGCCAACTGGAGAAATCAAAGTCGACGATCACAAAGTGGTGCCACCAAAGCGAGCTGAAATGAAAGAGAACATGGAATCCCTAATCCATCACTTCAAATTCTTCACCGAAGGTTTCCAAGTGCCGCCCGGTGCCACGTATGTCCCAATCGAGGCTCCAAAAGGAGAGTTTGGAGTGTATTTGGTGGCCGATGGAACAGGAAAACCGTACCGGTGAGTCACCGAATTGACGCATACTATATTATATGCTATACATATACATTTATATGTCACTATGTATCATTTTCAGCTGCTTCATCCGCGCTCCAGGCTTCGCTCATCTCGCCGCCATCCACGACGTCTGTTATATGTCTCTTATTGCTGACATCGTCGCCGTTATTGGAACCATGGATATCGTTTTTGGAGAGGTCGATCGATAGGCTTAGTTTGGAATTGTCTTTTTGTGTCTTTTTTGTTTCCCAAATAAATTAATTATCGTTTCTTTCCTATTGAAAATCTCTGGGATGCCTTATTTTCCCTTAAATTCTCGTTCTCCCCCTATTATCCAGGTCAGCTTCCGGTCAATAATTCGCAGCTTTCCAATCATCAGCAACTCTGGACTTCTTCAATGTAAAATACCAGAAAGCAATGAGCTCGGTCGATGGTGGAGAAGAAGCAGCAACGTCATCTGAAATACTGTGGACGGAAATATTGTGTCGAATTCCATTCAGAAAACTCGATGGGACAGACAAATGGGTTCGAATAGATTCGAAAAATGAAGTTGAGGAAGAAGACGCGTTACAACTTGAGCAATGTATTCAGAATCAGGAAGTGATACTTTCGCATTCGTCGATAATACAACCACAAGAGCATTGTCGGGGGATAGTTGAGGAATTTGAGTATTTGGAGAGGAATATTAAGGTTCGAGATGGGGAAAACCGTCAGTTTTGAGCTCAATTATTTCGGCTCCTTTGAAAGATATCAACAAATTTTCAACTAATAAAATATTGACAATATTATGATAAGTATTTTATCAGTTGACCACTTCTTCATATCTGTTATAGGAATCGAGATAATTGAGCTAAAAATTAACGTTTTTGTCGGCTTCTATTAGAGGAAATTCTAATAAAAATCGCCAAAAAAATACTTTGCGACTGTCTTCGTTTGTTTGTCTTGCTTCTCGGAAATTGTTCGTCTTCTGGTTGACGTCTTCGAGAACAATGAATATAAATAACGCCGCTTCTGTCGATTTACGAGGTTCCGCCCTGGTTTTTTAGGCCAATTTTTTATTATTACTTCATACACCGCCAGTTTTATGTCATTTTTTAATTTGTTCTCAGTGATTAAAAAATTGTTTTTGTTTCTCTTGCAATTTAGCTCGCAAAATGATTTTTAGAGTAAAACAAACAATATGCGAGCCGAAAAAAAACCGAACAATTCCAAAATTCTCTCATGTTTGAATTTCGCATAAACATGTTTTCGAAAATCATTGCTCATCGAGTGGTCTTAACTGGAAGAGTTTTTTAGGTAACAATATCCTCGAATTCCGGCTTTCCGATTTGGGAGGACACTGATATATGGATGTCTCTAATGAATTCCATTTACAACGGTGAACTTAACACCTCCGCCGACGACCCGATTCCATCACCACAACCCGACGAGCCGCGTTCTCCGAAACCGCACGAAATGAATCAAAAAGAGCTGTTCGAAGCGATAAACGGGTGGCGATTGGTGGACAAGAAGCGGCTCAGAATGCGGAAAAAAGAGGGAGAACGGTGGAGAAATATCTATTTGACAGAGCTGGTGATGACGTGTATCGAGCCGGAGAAGGAGGAGTTGCTGGAGTTTGTGGAAGAGAGGACGCAACTGCGATTCGGAGATGTTATAGACGAGGCCGGCAATGTTTTGGTCGATGTGATAAGCAAGGACTTGGAACAGAAAACGGTACTAAAAGCGAAAAATGAAACATATGCAGTTGATTTTCAGTCATTTTGATCGTTTTCAAAAGTCTGAAGCTTGGCTGTCAAGCTTATCACTTTGAAGATTTTGGAGTGTGCAAAATGGACCTAGATTGAAACCTAGACTTTCACAGAATTTTCCTGAAAATTCCTGTTTCAGCTATTGGCCGATTTCTGAAAATCGCCTCTTTTTGGCCCGTGCAGTACTGAAAACATGAAACAACAGCCATCTTTCAAAAATCGGCAAATAGCTGAAAGTCTAAGAATTTTCATAAGACTCTGGGAATGCAGCTTTTTCAATCTAGGTCCATTTTCTAGGTCCAAACCCTCCCAAGTTTTCAAAGTGATCGGAAACTTGGTAGTCGAGCTTCAGACTCCTGAAAATAATCAAAATGGCTGAGTATCAACTGAAAATAAGTTTTAATGCCTATTATTGACCGGTAGTGTAAATTTAAATATATTATATATATATATATATATATATATATATATATATATATAACACCCATATATAATTTCAGATCACAATTCGTGTCGAGACCTTTCTAACCAGAGACGTTAATATTCCGCTGACCCCCGAACGGACATACTATTTGAGAATATGCGAGTTGGAAGATGACGATTTGGAAAGCTTGGCGAGTGAAGATGGCATTCTTCCCGGTTATCAATTGGTAGAAAATTTGGATGAGTTGTGCGAAAAGATTGGAGAATTGACAATCACTGATGTCAGTGCGATCGTCTGGTTCATCGAGAATCAAGCAAACTGCTACATCCGCCTCTTTGTCACCTCCACTAGAAGAATGTCGAAATTCAAACAACTCTCCGGACACCACGTCATCATTCAATCCACAGCCAACGGAAGATCATCGGTTCTGGCCGTCGTTAGTCGAGTTTTTAATGATGGGGTGAGTGCCTATCTTATTTTCAAACCTGTATTAGAAGGGTCCTGCAACTTTTAACTTTGAGTCAATTTTTCTCGGTTCCCGTCAGAGATATGAAAAAGGTTAACTAACGAAGTTTTTATCATAATATCAGAAGTGTTTTATCAGTTGATCATTTTGATAACTTGCATAGAACTTGAGATAATTGAGCTCAAACTTAACAATTTGGGGACCTCCCTAGTACAAGTGTTAAGAGATTTTTTTTGAAAAATAGAAGTTTCAGATGGTTCTGACACTGGAAGGGGTGCCGAAAGAAGACAAAAAAGAGTTCTTCTTCTCGGAAAAAGAAGGATTCACCATCAGAATCGAGCACGAGTACGAGGAACGTCTCCAGAAGAAGAACCTAGAGAAGCTCCGTTTTGAAGTGGCAAACTCTACGACCGACATTCGAAATCAACGAATTTGGCAGGAGACTGTGAAAACAGTAACCAGACATTATGCATCATTTTCAGTGAAAAACAATGCTTTTCTGCAAATCCCAAAAGGCACGAACATCCTAATTGCCAAAAATTACGACATAAAGAATCCGATTGAGCACAAGTCCGATTTTCGTATATGCAAGGTTGTGGGTCATCCCATTTGTGACTCGCAGACGGTGATTTCAAAGCTTTAGGGGTTAGAAAACTTCAAAATTCAATTTTCAGATAGTTGTGGAACTGATAAGTACAACTAGTCTTATGGAGGGACCTCATCGGTTCTCTATCACCAATGCATACTATTTTGTGGATTTTGATGTTTCCGAGAATGTTACCAATGATTCGATGTGAGTTGGAGAGTAGGCTGGAGATGTTCGGAATGACATTTTGGGAATTCGGAAAAACTCAGATTTTGAAAATTTAGGAAATTCCGATTTTGAAATTTTCAGAATTTCTGGAAATTCCGATTCTCAAATTTTTTGGAATTTCGGGGATTTTCGTTTTTGAAATTTTTGGAAAATTTCGGGAAATTTCGATTCTCAACATTTTTTCCCATCACGAAAACAAAGTGGGCGGAGCCAGGGGCGGTGCCTAAATTGCAAGTTTACCGGATTCAAATGTGCGAAAAAACAAAGTGGCAAAACCGTGCGCAGCTTGCAATTTAGGCTCCACCCCCCCCCCCCCCACTCCGCCCACTTTACATGGGATTTTTTATCGGAATTCGTAAGGCTTCCGACCGAAATCGTACATTTCAGCGTCAACATGCCGTAAAGTGTTCGCGTACGCATCATTTTATTGTACGACGAATTTTTTGAATCACGTACGCAAACACTTTCTGGCTGATTGACGCGCAAATACAAAACTTCGGTCGGTTTTTCGAAATGTCAACTTTTGGAAATTTTCAGATTTTCGAAATTCCGGCTTTGAAAGTTCCAGAATTTTGGGAATTTCAGATTTTGAAATTTTCTAATTTTGGAAAATTCCGAATTTCGTAATTTCGGGAAATTCATATTTTTAAAAATTTGAAATTTGGGAATTTTGGGATTTAAAATTTTAGGCATTTTTCAAAAGTTTCTGCAAAATTCAAAAATTCGAATTTCCCACAAAATGTACAAGTTTTAGATGCTCTTTTTGCAGATATTGTGCTCTGAATGGTCGAAACCACAACGATACAAAGTCGTTCGCCGAAAGACATCCAATCAGCAAAGAGCAAAAATTCTACGTATTTCCGATGGATGAGAAATATCATGGGAAGAATCGAAAGAAAAAAGGGACCTTTCAAAAGGAAAAAACCATTCAACCGCCGAAAATTCTACTGATAAAGGAACCAAAAACAGGAAATACTTCAAAAAGTCAAAATCAAAATCTCGAATTGAAGAAAAGCAGTCCTCATCCAGAAGATCCTCATCATAATCACCCTTGGAATCCTCCGGCGTCACTTCCGGTAAACGCCAAACAATTGGGATTTGTACGAGTTGTTGATAAGAGCTATCAAGGTGAAAATAAGAAATTTTAGGAACAAAAAAAAATAAGTTGTGAATTTTCCAGAAAATCAGAACAAGATTTCTGTTGAGATTGAGAAGGGTTTCAACCGAAACGGCGAGAAAATGGGCAAACCGACTCGATGGCACCTGGGAAAACAAGTGGCGATCACTGGAAATGCTCAAGAAAAGTTGATTTTGATTAAAGGAGAAGTGTTGGATACTAGAGGGGTAGGTACTTGGATTACTGTAGATTTTGAATTTTAGAGATTTCTGTAGTTTTTGAGTTTCAAACATAACTGTAGATTATGAAGCCTGCTGTAGTCTTCGGATGTCAACGATTACGGTAGTTTTTGGATTTCATGGATTACGGTAGTCTTCGAATTTCAAAGGTTACTGTATTTTTTGAGTTTCAATGATTACTGTAGTTTTTGAACATCGAAATTTTCTGTAGTTTTCGGATTTCAAAGTTTACTGTAGCTTTCAAATTTCGAAGGTTACTGTATATTTTGAACTTTATAGATTGCTGTAGTCTTTGAATTTCAAAGGTTACGGTCGATTGTGAGATTCACAGATTACGGTAGATATTGAACTTTAAAGATCACTGCGGGTTTCGAATTTCAAGGATTAATTACTTTAATTTTTGAAACTCAAGGATTACTGTAGTTTTTGAACTTCAAAGATTACGGTAGATTTTAAATGCCAATTACGGTAGATTTGGAATTTTAAAGATTACAGTAAATTTTTAGATTCAAAAAAATTACGGTAGATTTCGAATTTCAAAAATTATAATAGTTTTTGAATTTCGAAGATTACTGTAGTTTTCAAATTTCACAGGCTACTGTAGATTTCGAGTTTCAAAAATTACGGTAGGTTTTGAATCCTAAAAAGTAATGTAGATTTTGAACTTCAAATATTACTGTAGTTTTAGAATTTCAAGGACTACTGTAGATTTCGAATTTCGAAAATTACTGTAGTTTTTGAATTTCGAAGATTACTGTAATTGTTCACTTTTGAAAGTTACTGTTTATTTTCAACTTTGTAGATTATTGTATATTTTGAATTTTGAGGATTACTGTAGATATTAATTTCAGAATTCCAAAATTTCCAAGATAAAAAACCCTCGCTCAAAAACCACCAGATTTCAGGATATTGTGACAATGGAAGTGAACAGGAAAGCGACAGATATGGACTTTCTCAATCGGCAATTTACCAAGAAAATCAAAGGCAAGAACCAGAAACAACAGCATAACAAGAACCAATTTCTTCCGTGTTTCGAAGTTCGCTAAGCAGCTCCCGAATAAGGCTTTCATTTTGGACCGCCGACTGACCGCCAACAACCTACTTTTTCATAATATCTCATTTTATAAAACTCGTTTTATAGTTTTAAAAAGGTCTCTCGATTCCCTGTTTTACCGATGAACTCCTCCAATTGTACTCTTCTCATTCATTCTCCTCCGTTTTAGCATCTCTTTTCACGTTTTTGCGGATTGTTCCCCTCTCAAATCTTCTACCCAATGCTCCTCCCTCCCTCCCTGCTTTTAAAAATTATACATATATATATACCACCAATTTCTTTATTCACACAATATCTGTTATAGCATACACAATGTTTTCTAGATCAATCTATCTATCGTGCCTTCTTCATTCGAACCAAAAGTGCCACGAATCCAATCAAATAGAATCCAAAACTAATGACAATCAGCCCGACGATATCCACAGGAATCATCCAGTGATGGAATGAGAAGTATCGGAAAATCACGTCTCTTTTAGTATCACTCCAATTTGGGACATCATGGAATTGATCGATTTGGGACCATTGGTTGACGACGAGTCCTTCGAAGGCAAATCTTTAATTTTTTAAAATTGAATCATCCGAATTCAAAATGCCTCACCTATACATACTGGTATACTGTAGCCAACGGATCGCCGCTGGAAACGTGTCCGTATCACCATAGAAACCACCGAAAAGACGGAAAAGGACTAGAAGGGGACTAGCCATGACTGACGTCATCTGGGCGGTTGGGAAGATGCAAGACATTGCGATACCGAAAGCTGAGGAGGCTTGACAGGCTAGGAGGGAGATGATGGTGGCGTAGAGGAGCTGGAAAATGGATCTTCAGCTTCTAACTCTAGGATCTCAAATCACCTGTATCACAGAAGTGTTCAATCCAATCATCCAGTAGCAAATGTACAGAAAAATCAAGCCATCTGTTGAGAAAAGTGGCATCAGAGTTAGGCATCGAGCAATGTAGTACCTGGAATTTTTTGAAATTTTGGATTTTTTTTTCAAAAATTTACTTACGTCCAAAGATTATACAATCCATCATGATACTCCCGAGCGATCAGTGGAAACTCGTTGTTCAGGAACATCATAATTGCTGAAAATTTTGAAGTTTAGAGTTTTTGAGTTCTTGAATTTCGGAATTTTTGAATTTATTTTTGAACTTTTTAATTTTTCGAAATTTTGAATTTTAAAATTTCAGAATCTCGGAATGTCAAACGTCTGGTTCAGAAAATTCCAACAATCTAGAAAAGTCAGAAGTTCGAAAATTCGAAAAAATACAAAAAATTAGAATTCTGAGATTCCGATTTTGGAATTCTGGAATTCAGACTTTCAGAGTTTTTGAAGAAGATCAGCATTTTTTGAATTTTTAAATTTTTGAATTTTTGAATTTTTGAATTTTCAAATTTTCGAATTTCAGAATTTCGGAATTTTAGAATTTTAGAATTTTAGAATTTTAGAATTTCAGAATTTCGGAATTTTAGAATTTTAGAGCTTCTGAATTTCAGAATACCAGAATTTTTACCATAAGAAGTCGAATAAATGTATTCTCCAACAATGAAGAACAGTGCTCCGTTGATGTTATGAATTCCATGATCCTCGTTGTAATCTGTCTGAAATTGTCTGTTTTTTCTAGAAATTTCGAGAAAAAAAAGTTGCTCACTCTCAGGTACAGTAATCCGATGAATAAGCCGAAAAGGATTTTTTGAATGATTTTTGCCATTGTCAGTTGGGGAGCACGCCATACATCCAGACCGCATCTAGAAGTTTTCAAAAAAAAATTGGAGAATAAAGTGTTTTATAAGCCATTTCAGCTTGGTGGTCTAGAAAACTCAAGTTGAGAAAGTTAGGCCATCATGTTGGAATGGCCCAGAAATGGCCTTGTATTTACCTGGTGGGTTCTCTCTGCCATTAAAAAAAACACACCAGGGGGATATCAGACCATTTCTAGGCCATTTTACGTAGTGGCCTAACTTTCGCAACTTGAGTTTTCTAGGCCACCATGCTGAAATGACCTAGAAAAGGCACTAGATAAGTATTAGGTCATATCTAGGTCATAAAAGTTGGAGACCTAGAAAACTCAAACTGAGAAAGTTAGACCACCATGCTAAAACTTGTCAGAAATGATGTTAACCTCATACTCAACGCCTTAACCTGCGTAAAAACATTGGCTTTATGCATGGCAGGTGGTTGACCCTTTTCACTGATATCCTCCAATTGTCCCATCACTTTCTTCTGGTGATCACTCTCTTCATAATGATCCACAATCTCCTGAATTCGTTCATTGGATTCTTTTTCTTGTCCCGGTTGAACTGCCAGCTTATAAATGATCCATTCGCTGGGATTGTATTCATCAGGCACTCGATGACCACACTGTTCAAAGAATGCTATTGATTCTTGAGGTGTTCCTTGGAAAGCAGTTCGACCGTTTGCTGAAAATGAATTTAGACGAAATCTACTACAATTTAGAAGTCACCTAAATAAATAACTCTATGGAACATTTGATAAATTTGAGAAGACGGTTGATGAATGGTGCAGATGATGGTCCTTCCAGTTTTCGCAATTCCTCTCAGAATCTGAATGACACTTTCAGCCATAAAAGAATCCAATCCAGTTGTTGGTTCATCGGCAAACAGAAGTGAAGGATTGGAAAGCATTTCACATGCAAAAGTCAATCTTCTAGCTTCTCCTCCTGAGATTCCTTTCTTTTCTCCTATCACTCCAATTCGAGAATCTCGACATTTCCATAGTTTCAGCTGGTGCATTACATCTGTTACTCTTTCTTCTCTCAATTGGGAAGATCCATCGATTCGTAGTTTCGCCTGGATCATTAGGTATTCTTCGACTGTGAGGGTCCCAACGAATAATTCCTCTTGTTGAGCGAATCCGGATATTGTGGAGATTTTATCACCCATCTGGAAATCAGATTTTGAAAAGATTCAGGAATTCAAAAATTCAAGAATCAATTTTTTTTCGAAATCTGCACGAATTTTTGAAATTCGAAATTTCGAGATTTTGAGATTCTCAAATTCTCAATCTCTGAAATTCGAAAAAGTTCAAAAAATCAGAGATTCTGAGATTCTGAAATACGGAAACTCTGAAAATCCTAACTTTCAAGATTCCTTATTTTTCAATTCTGAAATTCCGAAAATTCTTTATTTAAATTTTCAATTTCATATTTTGAAAAAATTGAGGAATTCAAAAATTTATAGACTTCAAGAGTTCAAAATCCAAATTTCTGAATCTCGGGCTCTCAAACGTCGGATTTTCTGAATTTTTGAATTTTCTAGATCGTCGGGATTTTTAGATTCCGACGTTTGAGATTCCGAGATACCGAAATTCCAGAACTCTGAAATTCAGAAATTCCAAAAATGCTACAGGTTCTGAGATTCTGAGATTTTGAGATTTAGAAATCCTGAAATTCAGATTTCCAGATTTTCAGGTTTTCCAATTTTCAGATTTCCTGTTTTTCAGGTTCTCAGATATTCAGAGTTTCAGATTTTCAGAACTTCAGAATTTAAGAATTTCAGATTATCAGAATTTCAGAATTTCAGATTATCAGATTTTCAGTTTTTTGAATTTTTGATTTTTTGAATTTCTAAATTTCAAAATTTCATAATAACAGAATTTCAATATATCAGAATTTCAGATTTTCGAAATTTTCGAATTTTCGAAATTTCATAATTTCAGGTTTTCAGATCTTCAGACCATCAGATTTTCAAATTTTCAATTTTTCAGATTATCAATTGTTCAGATTTTCAAACCTTTAGATTTTTTGGTTTTCAATGTTGAGATTTTCAGAGTCATACCTCCTGTCCATTTACAGTAATCATTCCTTCTGCATTCAATCCTTTCAAATTTCGACACATCAACATGTTCAAAAGGGTCGTTTTCCCAGCTCCACTGGCTCCCATCAACGCCAAAAGCTCTCCAGGTCTAGCCACTCCGCTCACATTTCTCAGCAGCTCTCTTTGTTGTTTCACAGTTGATACTCTGGAAATTTATTCAGATTTTTGATCCGGAACTGATTTTAAAGAACCCACGAGACGTCTTTCCAATGCAATGAAACGGGAATGATATCGCCAAGGGTACTGTAGCCAGGCGAGACAGCTGTACATTCAATTTCCTCTGGTATTTTGTCAGTTACGGTCTCTTCCGTTGCCATTCTGATTTTTAGAATCGGATTTCGAAAAAATTAGGGATTTATAATTCGAAAATGATTTGAGAAGTGATGGGGAGGGGATAAGAATTTTCAGAATTTTGATGGCAAAATGGGATAAAGATGTTATTCACGTTGAATCGATTCGTAGTTTTTGACAGAAATCAGCGATTTATGCATGAGGATTTTAGAATCAGCTTCTAGGCAGGATGTTGAATTCTAGACTTTTTCTCCGAAATCATTTAAAAAAACATAAAACCTGTATTAGAAGGGCCCCCACGCTGTCTAGGTTGAGTTGAGTTATCTCAATTCCTGTGAAAGATCAAGCCGCTTGTATTACCGCTATTACTGTAAGCAGGTCAAAAAATCGAAGCTGTGGACGAGAAACGCATTGGGCGTTGACCGAAGGTCCCACAAAGAAAACTATCGTGACCTAAACATATTGTGATATTCCTTTTCGAATTTTCGGAATTTTATAGCAATTTGAAATTTCAGAATTTTGGGAACTTCGAAATTTCAAAATTTCAGAATGTTTGGAAATTTAAAGTTTCTGATTCAATAATTCTAAAATTCTCATTTCCAAAAAAGTCTAATTTCTAAAAACTCTGAAATTCCGAAAATTTCGAAATTCCGATTTCAAAAAACCTTTTTTGATCTTTCTGTCAATTTTTTCACTATCGAATATGGTAATCCAAAAAACAAAAACGCTTTTATATTACTGTAGAATTTTCTATATTAAAATTTCCTTTAATTTAACAATTTCAATTCTGAAATCTTCATTTTTTCTTAAAAAGAGATCAAGTAGCAGTTTTCGGTGCCTCATTGCTCATATTTCTTCCCCTTGGAACACGAAGGTTGTTCAGAATCTGAAATTGAATATTTTGAATATACAGTAATCCAAACAACTCCAGCTCTTTTCCCTGTTGCTCAAAATTGGGTCGAGCGATGAGAGTGACACGTTGAAATTGTACCGCGATGTCAGCCATCGACGGGCGGTCCGCTTGGTTTTCCAGCCAGCAACTCTGAAAAAATAAGGTTATGCTATCAAATTTTTAGACAAATTGAAAATCTAGAGCTGCGTTTATAGAAGTTCAAAGCTGATTTTTTCAACGAAAAATTTAAAACATGATATCTTTCTTTCAAACTACAATATCTCGTCACCTAGTAAAAATATCCAAAAGTTGTCAACTAAAAAAATGTTGCTGATATTATGATGAACATGTTGACCATTTTTTGATATCTTTTATAGGAACCGAGATAAATTGGCTCAAAGTTGAAAGTTAAGGGAGCCCTTCTATTACGTTTTGCGGTAAACTTGAATTCGAAAAAAAATTTACCTGAATAATCTTCTCAATTTGCGGATGAGCATTCTCGGGAATTTGCATTCGATACCCTTCTCGAACCTTCTGATGCACTTCCACAGGCGTCATTCCGGGATATGGATCACTGGCACAACTATAATAAATCTCCCAACACATTATTCCATACGCCCAAATATCAGATTTCAAAGTGTACGATCCGTTGAGCAATGTTTCTAGAGCCAACCATCGAATTGGAACCTTCTTTGTCATATCCATTTGATAGAATGAACCTGCTCGAGTTAGACCGAAATCTGAGATTTTCACTTTTCCATCTCCATATAGTCAATTTCTCGCAGCGATATCTCTATGGAGAACTGGTCGAGAATGAAGATATTCGAGACCCCAGGCTGCTTGGAGAATCATTTCATTACGAGTTTCATTTGACAAGTTTGTATTCTTTTTTAGGTAAGAGTCGGGAGCCCCGTTTGATGCCTGGAAGATACTGGTTTTCCTAATTAATACTTTGAGCTCAATTATCTCGATTGCTACAAACGATATCAAAAAGAGGGCAACTGATAAAATTTTTATTATATTATGATAACTGATTTATCAGTTGACAATTTTTTGATACTTTTCACAAAAACCAAGATAATTGAACTCAAAATTGACACTTGGGTCGGCTTCTATAAGAGAAAATACGGATGTCAACTTTTAACCCCTACAAAAGCATTCTAAATGTTTCAATTTGTATCAAAATGTCAGAGTATACTAAACAATATTTGAGCTTCATTTTTGTAGTTGACAACTGTTTTGCACCTATTTTGTTTCTAGAGATATGCGCTTTTAACGATGGGATTCTTGATCACCGAGAGAAGCGAAACGCAGACACCCAATTTTTAAAGGCGGATAGCTCAAAAACTACGGTTGCTACAAAAAAGATGTCAATTATAAAAATAAAGCTCTGAATTTGTTTAGTACACTCTGAAATTTTCAGACTAATGGGAAAACCTAGAACTGCTTTTGTAGAGCTTCAAAGTTAGTTACCGTAATTACTCTTTTAGAATCCTAACTGTCGGCTTTGAGCACGTTTATCTAATTTCCTGTAAAAGATATAAAAACAAGGTCCACTGATAAAATGATTACCATAAAATGTTACACATTTTATCAGTTGACAAAATTTTGATATCTTTTAAAGGAGCCAGGATAAATTGGCTCAAATTTGGAAAGTGGGCGGTTGCAGGCTACGCGGTCGGCTTCCGATCTCTTAACTTTGAGCTTATCTATCTCATTTCCTGTAAAAGATATCAAAAAGTGGTCGACTGATGAAATGTTGCTGATATTATGATAAAAATTTTGTCAGTTGACCACTTCTTGAAATGAGATAAATTGGGTCCAAGTTAGAAGTACGGTATTTCAAATTTAAGAGTCTCTTCATTTTTCTGCTATTTTTCTGTCCAATTGGTAGAGGGAAAATTTCCGAAAACTGGACGAAAATTGGGTTACGGTAGTTTTTGTCCCAAGATTTTTTGCCCCACCCACAAGAGACATTCCTTACCAATTCCATGACCATATAAAGTGGTTCCTGAAGAACAGCGACCATAAAACTTGACAATATTCGGATGTCTCATTGTCTTCAAATGACGTGCTTCACACATGAATTCTTTGATCTGCTCCTTTCTCATTTTCTCCAATATCGTCTGTTTCACTGCCACCTGGATACCCTTCATCATCCCTTTTCTCTTATAAATCCCCATTGAAACTTCTCCAAATGCCCCTTGTCCCGATTTCTGTTTAATTGTGATCCAATCATGCTCCAATTCCCATGATTGACGAGAAATCGGACGGACCAAATGGACTATTGAAGTGGGGTCATTTTGAGCTTGAGACGTTAGATAATAGGCGATAAGAGCTTGTGGAGATTCAAAGGAATACTTGTTTTCTATCCAGAACTTTCCGCTCGCAGTATGGATTACCAAGTGTTTTATCTAAGGATTTTAAAATGGGATGAAAAAGGTACTATAGCGAAAACTACAGTAACCTAAAAATCGGTTTGTTTTGAGTTTTTTTTTCGATTTTCGCAAGTTTTTTCGGCAAGTTTACTTGTTTGAAACAGAGAAAAATCGGCGAAAGACAGTAAAAATCGAAAAAAATCTTCAAAGTTTGCTTTTCAGGTTACATTAGTTTTCGTTCTGAGACCTTTAGAAGTTTTTTTCTAAATTAGTGTATGCGCCTTTAATATCGTATCTCAAAAATATTCAATTATAGTGAATTTTTCAGGCAATTTTAATCAATTTCAGTGAATTTTTATTCAATTTTCAGTAAATTATTACTAAATTTTATGTCAATTTTCAGTCAATTTTCCATACCGATGAATTCTCATCCAACAGTTTATCTGCCAACACACTCAACACATATGATCTCTGTTCTACCAGTTTTGGATCTGTTCTCACAACGAAATCCCCATTCTCTTTCAAAAGCATCCGAACATCGGCACGTGGCAGAAGACCATGATAGTACTGTTCGTTGTCGATTAATTTTTCACCTGAATGACTTCTAAACAACGATCGTTTCAAAATTTCTCAGCTGAGCGAAATTGTCAAACCTTGCATGTTTTCGAAGTCGTTTATTAATCGTATTTTGGGCAGATACACTCTCGTTACTGCGACTTGCAGAACTCATTATTTTCAGACAAGAAAGCTCTGGTAAGAATAACTGCTGAATAGAGGACGTTGGCACTTTAGGAAACGTGCTTCCATTTTTAGGTCACTAGTGCAGAGGATTACTGAGGACAACGTGAAAGCTCAGCCCTTTCAGAAGCTTTTCCGACAAGTTACAGCAAGCGTATGCAGAATAACCCACATAAGATTTCTAGAGAACCAATTGCTGGCACTACAGCGCTATAAAAACATGTCTGTATTCGTAATAAACAAACTGGTTTCAAACAACAGCGACTTTATTGTCAAACAAGAATTACGAGACAAGGGAGGCAGCGGTTCCGGACTCGTACTTCCAGGTTGGTGGAAGCTGACGCTTGGTCTTGTAGTATCTAGCCAAACGGTGGATACGGGACTCGACGAGAATAAGTCTGTACTTGCTGTCGATATCCTTGCGGGATCTCTCAAGATGCTTGCGGATGGCGACGGCCTTCTTGACGAGATGGTACAAATCCTCTGGGAGCTCTGGGGCCATTCCCTGAAAAAAACAATTAAAATCATAAGGCGTAATTGTTTCAACTAATGGAGAAGCTAATTTCTAAAACTAGAATTGTCATCGTGTTATTGAGATCTAATCTAAATACAATTACACCTCACCCAAAAACAAGATATTCTATATAGCTCATTTTGACGGCTGGCATGGACAAGTCAGAGTCCTATAACCAGTGCTTTTAAAGAGCATAGTATGTGCATAGGAAATTATTTTTACCTTGGACTTGAGGATACGGAAGATCTTGTTCCCGGCGAGACGGCGGACTTGTCCGACTCCGTGGGAATCCCTGAGGATAACTCCGATTTGGGATGGACGGAGACCCTGAAAATTCAAAATTACCTCTTGTCACAGAGTAAATAAGGCAATTGGACACCGATTTCTCGGCATGCACAATTCCTAGGCCCAGATTCAAACTTGAAAATCCGGTAGCCCTGTTGGTGATCATATGGTAGCTATCGGAATCGCACCGAGTAACTCCTCAGATCATAAGCAAACCTTCTTAGCCATCTTGACGATTTGGTCTTGGACCTCATCGGTGGTCATCTTTTGCCATGATGGAACGGAGCGGCGGTATGGGATGGCCGACTTGGCCATTCCCTTTCCTGGATTGTGCATGCGACCCATGGTTGATGCGGATTACCTGAAAATAGGAAATTGGTGAGGTTAGAGCGAAGAAAACTATGAAAAACGAGTAAAAATTTCGAAAATCCACTGGAGGAATTTGAGTTCTCAAAAGAAACAGATTCAATTGGCAGAAAAAAGTAGGGAGAATCCTCGAACGAAGAAAACACTGGCCTAAATTGTTGACTACGGTCACACTTGTTTTCGCGTGTGTGTCTTTCGCGGTGGAAGCCTGCCCGCCGAAGTCTGTGTCCCTTTAAACTTGTGTTCTGTGTGCGCTGCGGGAACTATTGCGCAACATTGCAATTCTTTTCTCAATGATTGTTCAAAAACCGTCCAAGGAATATATAAACGAAAAAATGACAAATGAATAATATCGTCTGTTTAATTTACAGACTTAGGTAATTATGGCCGACACTATAGAAGCTTCATCTAATATTGCAACTTCATCTAATCCCCCTCGACAAGGACCAAAACGAGGTCGAGGAGGACGTTTCCGACAAGCTCCACGTGAAGGAGGAGCTGAAATCGCAGCAGGTAATCAAGATGCTGCACCTCAGATGAACCCGAGAGGAGGACGTCGAGGTTTCAACGGAAACAGGCGCGGAAAAGCTCAAAAAGAAGGTTTGGATATTGATAAATTTATAGTTTTTCAACGAAAACGTTTTCTAGGGCCATCTGGAAGACAACCACAACCAAAGCCTCTTCATGCTTTTAATCCAAATGCGCCGGTATTCAATCCATCTGTTCCACCACCAGAACTCCCTGCAAGTACCACTGAAGGGCCTTCGAATCAGAAACGACAAAATCCGAACCCAAGACGTCGTGGTGGACAGGGTGGACAGCAAAATGAGCAGCGTCGTCAGCTCGAAATACAAGAAGGTCGACAGCCAAATAGAAATCAATCAGGACCAAATCGGCCGGATAGAAGAGAGGAGAATAGAAGAGGAGCTCCTGGAAACTACAGAAGAGGACAGGGAGCTCGCCGACGAGAACAGAAAGAAGAGCAGCTTACAGAGGAAGAGACAGCGATGCTGGCAGACAAACCTCTCAGAGAGCGACTCGTCTATATGCTTGAAAATAATAAATACGAGTGTGCAATTTGCTACACAAGAATCACGACGAGACAAGGAGTCTGGTCATGTAAGACTTGCTATCACATTTTCCATATTTCAACGGGATGTATCACGGATTGGGCGAAATCTAGCAGAGATAAGGAGGCAGGATCCAACACATGGAGATGTCCAACTTGTCAGACCGAGAACGAGACTATGCCGTATAACTATTACTGTTTCTGTGGCAAACAGAGGAATCCAAACTTCCGAGTCGGAGAAGTCCCGCACAGTTGTGGTGAAATATGTGGAGGAACCCGAAAATTCGGATGCCCTCACCCATGTAACGAGTTGTGTCACCCGGGACCATGCAGCGAATGCAAGTTGTATGTAACAAAGTCTTGTAATTGTGGCAAAACCAAAAAGAGTGTGAGGTGTGGATCCGGACAAAGTGTTTTGGTACGTTCTTCATTTCTTTATGATATTTTGATTCGAATTTTAAAATTTTGTTTTCAGTGCGACACAGTTTGCGGAAAGACTCTTCCTTGTGGACAGCACACATGCGAAAAAATATGTCATTCTGGAGAATGCGGCGATTGTACTGTGGTCCTTGAACAAGAATGCTTCTGTGGAAAGAAGCCAAAAGAAGTGGTTTGCAACCCGACGGCTTGTCAAAAATACTCTTGTGGCTCTGAATGCGATGGAATGTTCTCGTGTGGAGTCCATCGTTGTACCAAAAAGTGCCACGGTAAGGAGTGTGGTGATTGTGAGACGGGAGTCAACAGAATTCGAACATGTCCATGTGGACGGAACAGTCTTCAATCCCTTGGAATTGTTAGAGAAAAATGCACGGACAAAGTTCCGACTTGTGATTCGATATGTGACAAATGGCTCACTTGTGGAACTCCGGGGAAGAATCATCGGTGCAGGGAGAAATGTCACGAAGACCAATGTCCGCCATGTAACCTGAATACTTCTGTAGTTTGTCGCTGCGGATCTTCGAAAGGAGTTATTCTATGTGAAGAGTATTTGGAGATCATGAGAACTAGTGAGTTTTGGGGGGGGGGGTTCCAGTGGAAAACTAAACGTAAATTTTCAGCTGGCGAATATCTGTGCACGAAACGATGCCGGAAGAAGAAATCCTGTGGAATGCACAAATGTCAAGAAGTCTGTTGCATTCAGGATGAGCATTACTGCCTTCAAATGTGCAACAAACGACTGTCCTGTGGAATACACACCTGCGAGAACGTTTGTCATGCCGGACAGTGTCGTCCTTGTCTTCAAGCAAGCTTCGACGAACAGTTCTGTCACTGTGGACACACTGTTCGAATGCCACCGATTCCCTGTGGAGCTCGTCTTCCAGTATGCTCTCAACCGTGTGTCCGACCACATTCTTGCGATCATCCAGTCAATCATAAATGCCACGGAGAACCAAATTGTCCTCCTTGCACACATCTAACGGATAAAACTTGCTATGGAGGGCATACAGTTCGCAAGAACATACCATGCCATATTCAATCTGTATCCTGCGGAGTTATCTGTCAGAAGCCGTTGAAATGTGGTGTTCACGTTTGCCAAAGAACCTGCCATGGAGACGAATGTGAAAAGGAAGGAGAACAATGTACAAAGAAGTGTGAAGCGATTCGAGAGCGTTGTGAACATCCATGTGGTCTACCATGTCATAAAGACTCGCCATGTGAGCCAAGTCCTTGCAAAACGAACGTTCAAATTACTTGCGAATGTGGAAGGCTCAAAAAAGCAGCACCATGTTGCGAAGTAGACAAACTGATTGAAGCGAAACAGGAGAAGGAGGAAACCGAGAAATCAGGAGATTCTGGAGATTCTGGAGACCAGGATAAGCCTGGAAAACTTGTCAGATCATCAAGCTTCTCTCAACTGAACTGTATGAAGTGTGACGACGATTGCAAGAAGCTGGAGAGAAATCGAAAGGTGGCTGAAGCTCTAGAAGTCGATACCGATGAGTATGGAATGAACAAACTGACGCCTACTATCTCTTTCCCTTGCTATCTGAAAGCTATGGTTCGAGCAAACATAGATTTCGTCAAAAATGTTGAAAAGGTCTTTATTGATCTTGTTATCAAAGTGCTAAGCGTAAGATGTTTAAAAATTTATTCTAACCGAGAGGAAACCGAATTTATTACAGGGAGAAGCTTATCATGACGTCTTCCGTGCACACCTCCCCCCTATGAGCATTGAAAAACGTCGTTTCGTTCATGAATACGCCAATTTCTTCAATATCGTCTCTGAAAGTGTCGATAGTCCACCGAAAAGAAGCATTGTGCTGACAGCAGTACGTGGAAAGTCACATCAACCACTAATTCTCATCAGCGACCTTGTCAACTACAAGGGAGCTTTGAAGGCTCCAGGTCCAGCTGTGGTCCGTAAGGATTTAATGGATCAAGCCATGAGCAAGAAGGAGGAATCGGAAGGCACAATGAAGCCGTTGAGATGTACGGAGAAAATGGTGGTGAGAAGAGAAGCTCGTCCGATGAAGGTACCTTTTTTGTAATACTAAAAATTTGGAAATTGGAATTGTTCCAGGAAATTGCTGCACCAATTCCACTGAAGCAACAGAACCAGTTCGCTCTACTAGGAAGCGATGTGGATTCTGATGACGAAGAATCTAAGCCGACAACTAGTGCTGCTGCTGGAAGTTCGCCTCCAAAAGACTGGTGGAACGATGAGGAAGAGCCGGGATGGCAAAAAGTTCAACAGAAGGAATTTGTTGTGGAAGTTGAACGAGACATGACTGAGGAGGAAATCGAAGCGGCGAAGCTGATAGAAGAAGGACCAACTTGGGAAGACCAGGCTGATGAGGATTCTCCTGGAGTTTCTACTGCAGAAGCAGCTACTCCAACTGAACCATCAATAGTGAAGAACCCAGAATAGTAAAGCTAGATTTTTATCATTCCATCTGATGTTATTATCCTCGTTTATCATATGATTGTACGGTTTTAAACATTTTCCCGATCCCACTTCACTCCTGCTAAACATTTCTACCGTACTGGTCTAATAAAGGTTCAAAATGTTTAACTGAAATTATTGATTCTAGTTTTCCCAAAGGTTAGCTCCTTTTTTGTTTATTTTCCAGGTTCTCTCGTCAAATGACAGCGTGACTGAAATGTCCGCAAACACCACCACGCGCAAGTGCACAGAAGACGAACTTCGCAATTTTTTTTTCATTTGCGCGTTCTTGTTTTTTCCGGAAATTCTTTCGAATCCGTTCACAATCACTTAATTTTCAGCGACTGGGTAAAAATGCAGTGCGACGATGTGACTTGGAACATTCTAAACAAAGGACAATGCTCCTACAAGGCCTGGTCGAAGCCCAAAATGTTCTGCCGCAACGAAATGAATTTGACCGGTTTGTGTAACAGAGCATCGTGTCCATTGGCAAATTCACAGTACGCAACTGTTCGCGAGGAGAACGGAGTGTGCTATTTGTATGCAAAAGTTGTCGAACGATCTCACTATCCACGTCGTCTGTGGGAGAAGACGAAGCTGTCGAAAGACATGAACAAGGCGCTCGAACAGATCAGTGATCAGCTGATTCACTGGAGTGAGTACGTTAGACACAAGTGCAAAGCTCGTCTTATCCGAATTCATCAGTATTTGATTCGAATGCGAAAAATGGCGGTTCGCGGAAAGTGAGTTGAAGAATGTGCCAATAGATTTGAGTTTGTGGTTTTCAGCCAGAAGAAATTGATTCCAATCGGACGCAAAGTTGAACGACGTGAGAAGCGTCGTGAGGAGAAGGCGTTGGTAGCAGCGAAACTGGATCACGCTATCGAGAAGGAGCTTCTAGCAAGACTCAAGTTAGTGATTTTTACTTGAAGCCTTAACGCTTTTTAACTTAAGGCCGTCAGTTTTGCAGCCTTTAAAACCTTCCTTTTTCTAGACAAGGAACCTATGGAGACGTGTACAACTTCCGTCAAGAAGCCTTCGAACAGATGCTCGAGAACACGGAGAAAGAGCTCGAAATCGAGCAAGAAGTCGAGCAGGACGACCCAGACACCGGGGAGACTCAATTCGTGGCTGATTTTGATAGTTCTGATGATGAGGAGGATATGGAGGATGGTGGAGATGGACATTGGTCACCACAAGAGACTGACAGTGAGAATGAGGATAACTGGCAGCCAGAGGAAGAAGAGGAGGAGGATTCTGATGAGGACGGAGAGGATGGTGAGGAACCAATGGAGGTTGATGAGCCACCGAAGAAGAAGGCTAAGAAGGAGGTCAAGAAGAAGACAGTGAAGAAGGCGGATCCAAAGAAGAAGAAGCTGAAGAAGAGAGCTCATGTGGAGATTGAGTATGAGGAGGAGGTCGAGCCAAGAGAAAGAGTCAAGGCATAACTCCTTTTCGTTGTTTTCGTTGTTCTTGTTTTGTTAATTTTTATTCCATTTTCCTCTATTTTACCGTTATTCTTCTTCCATAAAAGCGTTATTGTTTTTTTATGATTATTTTTGAAAATTTATTGGGTCGAAAACCCTTTATATTACCTTCTTACTAATTGATTTTGACCCAGTTCCTCTTTAAATAATATTTTAGAAGCCGGGAGAAAGCCATGGACTCGCCGGCGTGGATGTTCACGAAGGCGTTGAGCCATAGACAGAAAGTGAGTTTTTTCAAAAGAAAGTTTCCAGAAGAAACCCAAAGCTGCCATTTTTCTAAAAAAAATAGCAAAAAACTGGAACAATCCGGCTGAAATTTTTAGGTGAAGCTGGAAAAAATATTATAGGAACATACGGCCGAAATTCGGGGTCAAAACATCCATTGATAATTTTGTCTGAATTTCCAGCCGAATGTTCAAAGTGGATATTTTGACCCCACATTTTGGCAGTTGGTCCCCTGTAGTTTTGTTCAGCTTCGCTCCAAAGTTTCAGCCAGATTGGTTCATTCTCCGAGTTTTTGCTATTTGTTTAGGTTTTGGCCTCACTTGAACATAACCTCATTTGAGACCATTAAAAATCATCATTTTATGTCGATTTACGGGTTTTGAAGAGAAAACGCAGCCAAAACGAGTGATACCGACAGTTTAGTATCTAAAAGCTGGAAAAATAACAACTTTGGACAGCGTTCTCTAAGAAATTTCCCCTGAAAATTCACTTCGAACGAGGCAGAAATTTCAGTTTCCAACTAGATTTTTTCAGGTCACCCGTCTCTACAAACGTTGCCTTCGCGAAGTGGACAACTGGTATGGTGGAAACAATCTGGAAGTCCGATTCCAAAAATGCATCATCCGTGCTCGCTTCGACGCCAACAAAGACGAGATCGACACTCGCAAGAGCCAAATCCTTTTGGCTGACGGATGTCGTCAACTGTGGGAGAAGCGTCACTTCAAACCATTCCGCTTCGCTCTTGACCCAGGAGGCTCCAGCTACGATCGTGAGCGTGAGTCGCCAGACGAGATTGTCGATTCGGATCAATGGACACTGGCCGAGCGTGAGCAATTCCCGTACTACTTCAACACTCGTGAGCAGAGAAAGAAGGAGTTGCTGGCTCACTGGGCCAAGATCGAGAAGGCTTGGGATGAGGAGATCGCAGCGATTCAAACTCAACTTCCGGCTGCCGCCCCAACTGTTTCGAAATAAACTTGCGATTAGTCAAAAAGTCCTGAATGTTTCTTTTCTAGATCGAATCTTTCTTTTTGTTTTTATAAATGTAACGTCCACTCTTCTGAACAAAGTAAATATAGCTGTATGTTGAGATCCATTCAATTTTTAAAGGTTCACAACCTTCTCATTATTTATTTTTCTATTTGACCTGTTAATTTGCTCCTCCTCTATATTATATATCGGTTCAGATTTATCAACGATGGATGGATCTACCGGGTTCACTTGTGTCACTTGCCGTGTGGTCTTCGAGACCGCGGAGCTCCAAAGAGATCACTATAAAACCGAATGGCATCGGTATAATCTGAAAAGACAAGCCGCGGAGCTTCCAGCTATCGGATTTGAGCTTTTCAACGAGAAACAGGCTTCGTTTAATCCTACAAAGGTAATTTTTGGGCAAATTTGCATTATTTTGTGCAGAAAATCATTTAAAGGGGGACTCCGACCAAAAATTTTTTTGCATTAAAATGTGTTAAAAGTTATCTGTTTTTCAAATATTATTGCGAAAAAATTCAAAGAAAATCCGAAATCCCCAAAAAACGGCGTTGAAAAGGAAGAAAATTCAAAAAAAGTGCCGCCGGGGGACGAGGATTTTCAGTGAGAAACCTAGGCCACGGCACCTGACAGCCTTTTTTTCAAGTCGCCGACAGTGGTTTCTTACGTTTTTTACCTGCCGGACATGAAATTGAAAAAAATCCGGAAAATTTGCCACGTAGGAAAGGCGCCCGCTGCCGTGGCCTAGGTTTCTCACTGAAAATCCTCGTCCCCCGGCGGCACCTTTTTTTGAATTTTCTTCCTTTTCAACGCCGTTTTTCGGGGATTTCGGATTTTCTTTGAATTTTTTCGCAATAATATTCGGAAAATAGATAACTTTTAACACATTGTAATGCAATAAAAATTTTTGGTCGGAGTCCCCCTTTGAAATCTGAAAATGAGAAAAACTCATCAAAAAACCAAGTTTTTAGCCTGTTTCAGATAGTTTTTAAGCCATTTTTGTAGTTTTCAGGTAGTGTTAGGCTGGATTATGTCATTCATTTTCAGGCTATTTTATGTAATTTTTAGGTAGTTTTGGGCTGTTTCAGTTCATTTTAAGAATATTTTAGGTAGTTTTTAGGCTGTTTCAGGCCATTTAATGTCATTTTAAAGCTATTTTGGGGGTACGACAAATTCGAATGTTTTCAAAATCGAACAGACCTAAAGTCGAACTGATTCAAATCAGAACAGTGTCTTTCTCGAACAAGTATCAAAACAGAACAAGGACAAAATCGAACTGCGCACTGTCGAACTGTCCCAAATTGGAACGCTGTTAGCCGCCGAGCGCGCTTGCATTTCTCTTCAAATTCTCGATCAAATTCAAAATTTGCGAAGAAAACAATGATAAAAGAAAAACAATGCAAGCGCTCTCGGCGGCTAACAGCGTTCCAATTTGGGACAGTTCGACAATGCGCAGTTCGAATTAGAACAGTTCGATTCTGTCCTTGTTCTGTTTTGATACTTGTTCAAGAAAGACACTGTTCTGATTTGAATCAGTTCGACTTTAGGTCTGTTCGATTTTGAAAACGTTCGAATTCGTCGTACCCCCGCTATTTTAGGTCATTTTTGGGTAGTTTTAGACTATATCATGTCAATCTAAGGCCATTTTAGGTAGTTTTCAAGCTATTCCTGGTCGTTTAAAGTCATTTTCAATTAGTTTCCGATGACAACAACTTCCTGGGACCTCTAAAAAATAACCATAATTTTTCCAGCCAGCTGTGTCTGCTGAAATCGAGCCACTCTACTGCAAAGCATGCCGAAAATCAATAAAATCAGAAAACGCGATGACAGATCATTTGGCAAGCAAAAAGCATAAAGATATGGAAAAGAAGAGTCTGGAAGAGGTCAAGAAGGGTCCGAAGCAGCCCAGAAAGAAGCCAGAGAACATGCCAAAGAAACCAGAAGCAGATGAGAAAATGGAGCAAGACGAGAATGACGAAGATGACGATTCGAGTGGTTGGGAGACAGATGACGGAGAAGAGGGAATGGAAGAATTGAATGAGGATGAGGCTCTTCCAGTGACTTCTTGTCTTTTCTGTCCACAAACCAAGCCAAATGTGGAAGAAATGCGTAAACATATGAATTTCCATCATGGATTCCAACTTCCAGACAGACAATATCTGGTAGATGAGCTTGGATGTTTGAACTATTTGGGTCTCAAAATCGGAGCTGGACGTTGTTGTATCTATTGTCCAGATTCAAAAGCTAGATACGATTCAATTCAAAGCTGTCAGCAACATATGAGAGATAAGGAGCATTGTAAAGTGCGTAGAGATCCAACGAGTATGATTGAACTGGATGACTACTATGACTATAGTCCGATGTATGAGGGAGATGAGGATAAGAATGATTCGGAGCTTTTTGATGATGGATGGTCGTTGACTCTTCCATCTGGAGCTAAGATTGGCCATCGGCATCTTCATCGTTACTTTAAGCAGTACCTGAAACCGGTGGACGGTACGCAGAGAATCGCTTCGAGAGCTGCCATTGATAAGGCTAGAGGATTCTATCCAGCGCTTGCATGGACTGGAACTACTAGTGAGTTATTTTTGGCGTCAGGAATTTAGAAATTTCAGGAATTCGGAGATTCAGGAATTCGAAATATTCGGATTTTTCCGATTTTCGGAATTTCTTAGTTTCGAAAAATCCGAATTTTCCGACTTTGAATATTTCGAAATTTTCGGAATCTCGGAAATTCTGATTTTAAAAAATTCGGAATATTCCAATGTTGAAAATTTCCGATTTTGAAAAATTCGAATTTTCGGAATTTTCCAGTTTTGAAATTTTCGGATTTTAGAAATATTTTTTAATTCGGAAATACAGAAATTCAGGACCTGCGAAATTCAAGAAATTCAAAAATTCAGACATTCAGAAATTTAGGATTTCGGAAGTTTTGAAATTTAGGATTTTGGAAGTTTTGAAATTTAGAGGTTTCAGAAATTTAGAAAATCGGTAATTTGACAAAAACTAGCAAAAAATTAGAAAACGAGCCTTTTGGTATACTGTAGCTCTGGAAATTTTCAGCTGTCGAGGCTAAGAAGGTCGCTCGTGACATGAAGTTCGTCGAGAGATTCCGCCGTCGTTTCGATCTACGCGTGGCCGTCAAATCGAACAAGCTATTCAAAACTCGCGGATTTGTCGGAGACAATCATTGAATTCAGCACCTTTTTTCATTCCCTGTTTTTGTTGTTCCTATTAATCTTGTTCGTTTTTGTTGCCTTGTTAAAGTCCTGAATAAATATACCACGCGCTAAAATACCTAGTTTCCTTTTTTCTTATCCAACTCCTCCTTCTGACCCCTTTCAACGTCACAAACCACCACACCGACGATCGTCAAGAGAAATCAGTGTAAATTCTAGTAGAAGAGCTCTCGGGTAGTTTCTTGAAGAAATTTTAAAACTCTCACTGGCAGACGATTTTCGCTTAAAGCAACAATGGCGAGCGAAGAGAAACTTCCGAGTCTCAAACTAGATATGAATGTTGTGAGTTTTTGGGAATTAATCCTAAAAAATTAGATTTTTGCTAATTTTTTCGATAAATTTTGAATTGATTTTGAGCTATTTTTTCCCCAAAAATCGCATGAAAACGACGAAAATTTTCGAAAAATCGTTAAATTCTGCCTATTTTTCTTTAAATTGCGACTAATTTTCTTGAAATTATGACTATTTTTCTTGAAATTTCGGTTATTTTTCATAGAATTTTCGCTTTTTTTTTTCAAAATTACAGCCATTTTTCTTAAAATTTCGGTTATTTTTCCAAAAATTCTTGTTGTTTTATATATAATTTCTCCTAAAATTCATCAAATTCAATGACGAATTTTTCAATAAATTCGGTTTTCAGCCGGTCCGAAACAAATGGCATCCAATAAAAGTTCTTGGCTCAGGCGCTTTCGGTAAAGTCGTCCACGTCATCAGCACTTCTGATGGCTCCGACGCTGCAATGAAGCTAGAGAAAATCGGAGAAGGAAAAGACTCGATTCTGAAGATTGAGGTGGAAGTGATGCGTGCGATGGCTGGTGTCAAATGCGCGATTCAGTGTCTCGATCACGGCAATGAACCCGAATTTCGTTTTGTTGTCATGACACTTTGTGGAATGGATCTTCAGAAAGTGTACGCGATGCTCAAGGGAAACTTCTCGGATTCAACGATCCTTCGTATCGCGATTCGTAGTTTGTTGGCTGTGAAAGCGGTGAGTTTTGAGCTTGAACAAAAAAACTTTTTTTTCAATTTTTCAATAAATTTTGAACTTTTTTCAACGAAAATTCGAGAAAATCGCATAAAAATTATCGAGAAAAAATAGACCGCCTATTGTTTTCTCTGCATTTTTGGGTTGTGGTGTTTGCGTATTTTTGTGTACCGTAATCTAGTTTTAGAAAGCACACCAACTGGGAGGAAAACAAAAAGTGCATACTTGTAAAATTCCGGGCCGGGCCTGAGGAAATTTTCAAGGCCCGGGCCCGGCCCGGAAGGCCCGGTGTCAAAAATACTGTATTTTTGAACCAAATTTTGAGCTCTCAATATAATTTTTTTTCCATTTTTTTTCGTTTTTCGGATTGTTTGTCTGTCTGATCAAAAAAGGTCGAAAAACTCGAAAAAAATTTTTTTGGTCGAAAAAAATCACATAAGGGTCCCCCCTTATGTGTTTTTTGAAAATTTCGAAACTAGTGAAATGACGGGCCCGCCGATAAATAAATCGATTTCGCACCGAGATTAGGTTTTGAGCATTGAAAAACCTGTTTTTTTTTCAATTTTTCAATAAACTTCATTGATTTTGAAGTTTTTTTCGACGAAAATCCGACACAAAATTATCGAAAGTCGAATAAAATCGGCCTATTTTGAGCGCCTGTAGTTTTCTGTGCATTTTGGTTATGGTGTTTTTTTTTCACAAATTTAGCTTTTTAAATCCTCAAATTTGCGAAAAAAAAACACACAAAATTTGCAGAAATTCCGAATCTCAAAAAAAAACTCTGAAATTGCAGCTCCACGAGAAATGCTATATCCATCGAGACCTGAAACCATGCAACGTCACTCTGGACTACAATGAAGAATCCCCTACCATTTACCTAATTGATTTCGGAATGGGTCGCCAGTATGGAATGTACGGGCCTCACAACGAGTATGGATTTGTGATTCGTCATCCGAGAGATTCGGTAAATTTGAATAAAACATTATTTTCACCTAAAAACCAATTTTTCAGTGCCGCTTCCGAGGAACGTATCGCTATTGCTCCCCTCGCATGCATCTCCGTCGAGAGCAGGGACGTGTCGATGATCTATTCGCATGGCTCTACATGATTGTCGAATTGAGAGTGGATCTTCCATGGGCGGATGTTGTGAATCCCGATCGGATTGAAGTTCTGAAACAGGACCGTTTCGATGCGGCACTCGCCAGTTCCCCACTCACCAAGGCTCTCGAACCAATCCACGATCATTTGAAGAGCCTGGACTATGTGGATCGTCCCAACTACTGGATGATCTACGAACACTTGGCAAAAATGATGATGGATATCAAAGCAAAGCATACGGACCCGATGGATTATGATGAGCTCCGGAAAAGGAAGGAAGAGGAGATTGACCCCATCAAAAAGAAGTTTATGAAAAAGTCCCGTTCGATAGAAAAGTGTTTGGATGAGAAGGAGACGTTGGCGATGCTAGAAGAAGCTTTCCGTCCGAATGCCAAAGATATTCCAGGAGGAGAAAAGTATCTTGTTCGACCACTTTTGAAGTTGAATTGGGGATCTGTTGGTGTCGATGTAAGAATTTTGGGGGAAGTGGAAGGGGGTGGGCACTGGGGATGGCTTGGGGCAAACTCAGATTAATATCTGAATTCCAGTATGTCGCTACAGTCAAGGACGACCCTGCTGGCGATTCAGATGAAGATAAAAAGAAACTAGAGGAAGAAGTTAGAAAAAAAGAAGAGAAGAAGAAGCAGGATGAAGAGGCCAAAAAGAAGGAGGAAGACAAGAAGAAGGAGGCGAAATCAAAGTCTAAAAAGGAGAGAAAACTGGAAAGATCCAAGGACTCTAGAGATCATCACAGTAAGGATCCCAAAGAATCGCGACGACGTTATTCCAATGATCGTGACGCCCAAACTATTGGAAAAGATGCGAAATCGAAGGACTGGAAGGATGCGGGAGAACAGAGAACGAATCGAAATAACAATAGTGACACTCTGAAAAAGGCGAAAAAGAAGAAGGATGAGTCGAAGGACACGAAGACGACTACGCATACTAGAAAGAGGGATAAGGAGAAGAAAAAGGAAAGAGAGAAGGCTGAATCGTCGGGACACTCGAGGAAACATATTGCTCATCATACGCCACCACCGGTTATTTCAGTGCCCAATGCTCTTAAGAAGAAGATGGAGAATAAAAACTAGCTTTTTAAATTATAGCTGTAACTATGTAGAGATGATGAATAAATATTTGTATTGAAAACTTTTTTCTGTTATTTTTTACGTCAAAAAGCGTTGAACCCATGTGAAAATGGACAAGAATCGAGAAAAATGAATTCGAAAATCAAAAATATTTTTGTAGGTTACTGTAGTTCTTGCTAACAAATTTGCGGCCATGATTCCGCTGACACCATCGTTTCTCTTCCAAAATCTATTTTCAGGTTTTTTAAAGGCTGGAACAGCTTAACTTGAACTTTAATTGTCTATTTTGTGACTTATTGAGCCAAGTGCTCGATTCAATTAGCTTGAACTACGGTGGAAATTTTCGAGTGCGCAATGGCCGCAAGCAACGAACTTGACGACAACTTGCACACACTCAAAGTCATCTTTTTTTCTCGGATTTGCAATGTTTTCTATTGATTTTCAGGCGCTGTCATCGCCAGAATTGTTAGTTTTTGTTGTTTAGAATGCAGTTTGTGGTCCCTTTATCCTCTTCTTTGATAATTTTTATTGATTTTCACTAGGGAGATTGGTAAAAACGTGCCAGAACTTAGTCTTTGAACTTGGGTTTTTTTTGCATTTTTGTCAGAACTCGGTCTTTTTTCAAGGTTTTGAATTTCCGTATCAGCTAATCTAAATTGTAAAAAAATATTTTTTTCAGAAAATGGCTGCCATGTTCAGCAACGCCCGTTCCACGACGTCCTCATCAGGACACATCGTCGAATTCAAGGCAGGTCGTTCTCGTCTCGATGCCGGATCCGCTGACACCATGCGCAAGGTTGTTGCCGAGCCAACCAAAGGACTGGTCTACATAAAGCAGAGCAACGATATGCTCATTCATTTCTGCTGGAAGAATCGCGAGACTGGCGCTCTTGTCGATGATCTCATCATCTTCCCAGATGATGCCGAGTTCAAGGCTGTGACCGGATGCCCAGATGGCAAGGTCTATATGCTCAAGTTTAGGTCGTCGGGAGAGATGAAGCTCTTCTGGCTGCAGGATTCGACTCCAGATGTTGATAAGGATCTTGTGAGGAAGGTCAATGACGCTTTGAATAAGCCACCAACTTCCCGTCCTTCGGCTTCCCGCTCCAGCGGATCTACCACCAACGCTGATCGTCCATCTGCTGGAGGATCATCTATCATGTCTGGAAACGACTTCAATGCTCCATTGGGAGGACTTGATCAAGGACAACTGATGTCGCTTATACAATCTCTTCAAGGCAATTCCTCGGACTCTTTGCCACTCACTGCTGGCTCTGGAGCAGCTCCGTCTTCTGAAGCGGATTGTGAGCCAACTGCTGGCGAGGGATCGTCGAATCCTCTCTCGTTGGACAACCCAGCGATTCAGAACATTTTCAAAAATTTGGGACAACAACAGAAGCGACAAGGAGGAGTTTCCGCGTCGTTGGGAGAGGCTCTCGCCAACTCCACTGTTGCTGATGTGGCCAAGAATCATGCTGATGAGCTTGCTCAGCACCTTCCAGCGTCTGATGATCCAGCTAAAGAGCTTGCCGATACCGTGAGAACGCCACAATTCAGACAAGTTTGTTTTTTTTGTATTTTTTCAACAAATAAGAATGTTTGTTTTCAGGCTGCTGACACTCTTGGACATGCTCTTCAAACTGGTCAATTGGGACCAGTTCTCTCTCAGTTTGGTATGAACGATGAGACCATCGCAGCTGCCACCCAAGGAGACCTTCGCAAGTTTGCCACCAATCTGACTAAGGCTGAAGGAGGAGAGCAGGATAAGTCAGCTGAAGGTGAGTACCCTCTAAATCACTCGAAATAGACCGAGATTCTCACCTGATGTTCGTTCAGCACGGGTTGATAACCCGATCTGCCGGAGAGCTGTGGTGCCCTCCAGTGTGCTCGGGCAGCCTTGTCTTGGCTTCTTTTCTCGCTCAATTGCGGCGACAGTGTCTCGACTAGGTACGGCGCTATGATCTTTTGAATATCTTTCACTAATCGTGGTCGTCATTTTTGTTTCTTTTTTTCGCACCTATTTTGCGCGAGTCTTTCATGTGAACTTCTCTGTCCATTATCACACAACAGCTCTAATAATTTTCCCTCACACCAAACTAATGCAGAATATTTACAGAGAATCCAGAAGACGACGTTGCTCGCGAGCCAGAAGCCAAGCGCAACCGTCCAGACAACGAGGACATGGACGTCGATTAATTCCTACTTGAATTCCTCGTTATTTGTGTGCATATTCGTGTTTACTTGTGTCCCCCTCTTTTATCTATTCCCACTCTCGCTGTTCTATCATGCCAGAAATGGTGTGATAAGGTCGAATAGGGGGAGACGCAATCTCTTCTCTCCCATTTGTAACATAAACGCCCGTGAGAATTTCGAGACTTTTCTTTCTCTATTTATTGTAATGATGGCTACTGAATGAATTTAAATGAGCTTAATTAGTCAATTACTGCGATTTTTTCTTTTAAAAATGACTAGAAATCGTTTTTTCAAGCGATTAAATTCTTTTTTGCGATTTGAGTGAACCCCGTTCACCCGCAGACATACTTGTAAAATTCCGGGCCGGCCCGCCAAAGCCCGGGCATGAGGAAATTTTCAAGGCCCGGAAGGCCCGGTGTCAAAAATTCTGTATTTTTGAGCCAAATTTTGAGCTCTCATAATTTTTCCATTTTTTTTTCGTATTTCAGATTGTTTGTCTGCCGATCAGAAAAGATCGAAAAAACTCGAAAAAAAAATTTTTGG